CACTTCGTGTTGGAATCCTTGTCTTCCCCGGGGGCATTGAGGCCGACCGCAAACGCCCAGATGCCGAGTCGATCGCCGGCTGGATGATTGGAAGATGAGGTACCCGACTCAGGGCCATTTGTTGCAAAACGACTCAGCATCCCTTCTGGCCGATCGCCATCGACCCGCCATGCTTCGTAATCACTCGGCACAATAGGTGTCGGGTAGGGGTGAGGGGCGCGGGAAGGGTGATGGGCGCCATTCGGGCCATTGGGGCCGACGCCCAGTGGGGTCGCTCGGTAAATCTCGCGACAGCGAAACTTCTCGATATCCCACACTGTGATTTCATTGCCGTGGCTGCCGCTACTGGATACGCAGACCCAGCGTCCGCGGGCCTTGACGGGATGCAGTTGGATCCGGTTGATAGCACCCCAGCCTGGAAGACCCCATGCCTTCAATCGCACGCGGAAGCGGAGATCCCAGAGGTCGAGGATTCCATGAGTTGTGCCGACCAGTAGCCAGTGGTGCCTGCGGTCGCAACAGAATGTAGTTGGAGTTCCATGGTGAACTGGGTTTTCCAGTGTGTAGATTGGCAGCATAGTTTTCATGTCCAACGCAATGATTCGACAAGTGTTGGTCGCAATGATCAAGGTAGACTGCCCTTCGTCACGGAAATGCTCCATCCAGACTGCGTATTCGGGTGATCCGTCTTTGGCTATGGGAAGCTGATATTCGCGAACAATTTGAAGCTTGCCGTATCGGACTGCCGTCTGACTGACTTTCTGATAGTCGACCCGAACGGCATGAACGCTGCCATCAGTGGCCGCACTGATAAAGGTGTACGTATTCTCAACAAAGGTCAAGGCCTTCACACGCGAGCCTGTTGCATGACGGTGGGTTTGCCGAGATCGAGGGGTCAAATTCCTTTCAAGACGAGTTGTATCCCAGATCTTGACCGTGCTATCATCGGACGCGGTGGCAAAGAATGAGTGATCTGGTGCTACAGCGACACGATTGATTGGCGCACTGTGCTCGCCAAAAGTCGCGACCAGATTCCCCTCCGGCTTCCAAATCTTACTTGGCTCTTGTTCTGTGGCGCTGCGTATCGGTTGGCGAGTATCAACTTCTTTGACATATGGCCCTAGGTCAAATAGGTCTGTCGGATAGTTTTCGTCAAAGACGTTTTCTAGCAGTCGCAGAACGGCAGGGTCGTTGCCCCCATACGAATGGTGAGCACGGTATCTCTGCGACACTATTTGGGTCGCTTTGTGCTCGGTTGAAAGCAAGGGTGTCAATGGTCGCGGTGTACCGCCTCTTTGGACCGGTGCGTCTACCTTTCCAAAGGCGTTTGCGGAGCTTGTACCCGTTTCAGCGTAGGCTTTCGCATTCTCTTTGCGACTCAATAAGCTCATCGCGCTAGACTTTTTATGTACACGATCGGATAAACTTCTGGTGTCTGCGTTAGTTGGTGTTAATGAGCCATCTTCTCCGGGGCTTGCCCGCCGACTAGAAAGCCTTCGATCATTATCAAAGCTCGGAGGAGACAATGGACGAGACGCAGGTCCTCCCGCAGGCGATGAGGCCACTGGAGACGATGATAATGAAGAAGTACCATTTCCGTCCAAGGTAGGAACACCTGAGGCCCGTCTTGTTCCTTTCGAAACTTGACTTTTCGATCGCAAGTGCTTGCGATGGGCACTGGGCATTCGCTCAATGGTTGTAGAGGCGTCAAGCAGGGCATCTGCGATTGTTCTCGGCCTTGTATCCTCGACGTTACCATCGCTTACGTCTGAGGAGATTGCTCGCGACTGATCCTTAATTTCCTTATCAAAGAACACCGTTTGGGGCTTAACGCCATGTTGTGTCAGACTGACAATATCGCTCAATGGTGCGGTTGAATTGACATCGGTTTCTCTCGATTGCCGCAATGAGACCCTCCAAATGTAGTCTTTGAGGGCAAGAAGCTTGGCTTCATCCTCGGGCCCCATCCCGAGGTTTCGTAACCGACTCAGCCATTGTTCGTCCTCGTCGTTTCTTGACTGGGTGGCCATATGAAAGGAAGGATTCCGTTGACCCACACGGGGACTGAAGGATCCAGGCTCAGACAAGCTGAACATGCCATCGCGACTTGGTGACTTCCAGAAAACACCCTTGTCTGATTTGGAAGCCCATAGGAAGGCCATCTCGTATACGCCTCTCGATATTGGCCGTTTGAGTGCGTCGAGCATTTGGGTATCCGAAAACACAACTATTTTGATCTTGAGGAAAGGCTGGATAATGGGTGTCAGGATGGAATGAATGTCCGCTACCGATAGAAACTTGGCGGAATTGACCACGAACTTGACGGCTGCTTCTCGGATCCAGATGTTCGGGTGTCCCAAAAATCCGGCAGTCGTGTTTAGGAGATCCCACGTTGTTGATCGCTGGAATAAGCCCAAGTCAGCCATAGCCGCTAGGGATCGAATCACCCTTTCAACGACAAATTCCTCAGGCTCTGTCATGGACTGAACCATGAGAGGCAATATGTATAGCTCTAGATTTAGGCTTCCCACGTAGGCAGCAACACCGATGACAGCCTCGAAAAAGGCGCATTTCAAAATCCAGTCTGGATCATTCAGGTATGTATTCAAATGACTAAGAACAACCTCGTTTGTTCTGAGATTGCCGAAGAAGACACAGAGGCTGGATACAGAACCCAGAAAGGCCCGCCGAACCGATGCATCTGGGTCTGTAAGCAGCGCTTTTGTATGAACCTCGAAGTATTCTAAAAGGTCAACCCGAGCCACATCATAGAGATTGTGATACGTCGCATCTTCGGTCCACCGAGGCTCAAAGCCGACCGGGATTAATGCAGCCAAACGAGTATCGGAACGCAATGCTTGGATCATGTCCAAAAATCTCAAGGACGACTGGGCCAAAGACGCAATGCATGAGGCATATGCAGCACGTACCATGGCACTTGACTTGCTGTTCGAGGTAGCAACAAATGGCTGGAGCCTTGGGAAGATGTATTCAGAAAACAAGTAGGCATTGACTGGGGAAACCACCTGGACCATTTTCAGTAATTGGGTTAAAGTGCGGATCGCAGCGACCTTGACGGTATCAGTCCGATCAGTCAATAAGATCATGATATACGGAAGAATGCGATCTAATTTAGCTTCATCTGACAACCTTTCTGCAAATGCAAGAAGGATGTCGCAGGCCTTGATTCGAGCCGATGCCTTGGCTGTATTTCGCAAGCTGGATACCACAAGTGTCAGGAAAATCAATACACCGTCGTCTGGCTGTGACTGGGATGCCAAAGTCTTGGCTTCACCATTTGGCAGATCGAGCCTCACAGGAAGAGTGTTGCCTGTCAATTTGGGGGTTGGGACTTTAAATAGAGCCCCAACGCCGCGGGTGCTAGAACCGAGGAAGTAAGATACTTTATCGAAGTCTAGGTAGATTCGCTCGATTCGTTCGTCTGCCTCCCCTCGGTTGGTTGATTCTGCATCCACGTCTGGTCGCCCAGAAGAAGGATCGGTCATGAGGGACATATATTGGTGAAGAAAGCTGTAGAAATATTCCGGAAAGGCCTTACCCTTCCAGAAATTCAGATATTCATCCGCCGAGTACCGAGACTCGGGTTCGAGTTGGATCATATGCAGAATCAACTCCCGAATTTCCGGATCTTCGATTTTTGCTAGTTGACTGTGCTCTGGGCTGTATTCCCCTTTGCGATACTTGTACATTTGGCTCAGGTTGAAAATCGGCGATTCAAGAAAGAGTTCGGCAATAACACAGCCAGCACTGAAGATATCCATTGCCCAGTTGACGCGGTTTTCACTGGGCTCTTCGCCGGCAACACAGAATCGTTCGGGGGCTAAGTAACAGGTTCGCCTCCCGGAAATGTCAAAGAAGAAGGAAAAATCAGCCGGATTATCCTCGGGGAGAAAAGTTGGTTTGAAAGATGACGAGAAGTCAGAAAGATACAGCCAGTTCCAAGCTGTGACCAAAACGTTTTCAGTTTTGATGTCACCATGGTAAATATCCAGTGAGTGGCAATCTCGAAGAGCACACAACAGCTGAAACGCAATCCACTTCTTCTCAATATGCTCTAGAAAAGGCCGCGTGCTATGTTTATGTAAGGCTTTTTCTCACTGGCAACGACTGCAATGGACATACCTCATTCGATCGTAAAGAGAGCTGTGGATGTACTGACGGACAAGGTATCCACTCGTGGCAGTCTCAAGTATCATCTGGTAGCTTAGCGCATTTGGCACATCCGACAACAACTTTCGTTCCCCTGAAGTGGACATTAGAAGCTTGAAATAGGGGAAGGGATCCAAACATACTCGTTATGTTTTTGATATATGGCTCCAGCTCCATGGTTGGGAATGGCTTCATGATAACCTTGACAAACACCAGACCATTTAGTTGTTTTGCACGAATGCTTTTCATAAATCTGCCACCCCCCATCGACTTCTCATAGATCAGATCGGACAGTTCAGGCACATCAATACCCGCCGACCCCGCGGACAGGGTTGTGAGGGAATAGCCTTGTCCCATGGTGTCGACTGCCCCTCATCTCCCTGCTACAGATTCGATGGTTGATCAAAGTCACAGACTGAGTAAATGCGATGGAGATCACAGGTGGAAGCTATGCGATAAGGGACCTTGGAAATTTGACGATGAAGTCACTGGACGCGTCGACACGTGCACAAGGCGGTCAGCAACATATCGACAACTTTCAGCTCACCTTTTTCCCTTGCTATTCTTCTTCTTTCATATTAAATATTGTGGGACTGTTTATCTTCAATATTGACAAAAGATCATTGTTATGGTGTGATTTGTGGCCAACTAAAACCTCCACATTGATCAAACGACATGGACCTTTCATCGATATCTCGTTCTTGATACTTGCAGTTCTGCCCTATCCCCAAGGAGGGATATACTACATAGTAGGGATAAAAAGAATAAACAGCCAAATTTGTTGAAAAAAAAATCTTGGATTCAACGTTAAATATTCAATCAACGTCGGTATGTCTGGTTCCGGCGGGAAACACAGGGGAGACCTGCTAATCAAAGTAGAGCTTCTCCAGATGGATTCACACATGGATCATACAGAAATTCCGGTGATCGAAACCGACGAGCCTCTATTTGATGTTCTTCCCAAGCTATTCAAGTAAGTTTTGTCTGTCTTATTGATTAAACGGAATTAATGAAGCCCCTTCTAGCTTCATTAGCATGGCGGTAGGTGAAATGGCCTACACATTCGAGCAAATGCTGTACGGATCCCAAGGACACCGTCTTAGACAGTTGGTCCACGCTTTAGCAGAGGATACTCATAATCCCTACATCATTGTTGCACTGATGTAAGCTCGCCATAAAGACGACCCTGGAACTATCGAGGTCGGGTAGTTAATTAACAAATACAGGATTTTGAAATGGGACTTCACCACTGCCACCGAAGATGACTGGGGACTCAATGAGAGCCGTGGTGCAGCATGCGAGTTTGTTGCCTGGCAGTTCCTGTGTCATCTGAACCAGCGCGAGACCATTGAGTTTCTATTGGAAGAGCTACCATCACCGCGACGCGGGTCGGCAAATACAGTTGAATTTGAAGGAGGGAACCCTGGCCTGGCATCCATCCAAAGTGACGCAAGCCAGGTGGTAAGTGAGACTACTCCTCTCTTGTCAAATTCCTCTTCTTTCTATCGTCTTTTTGGCGGCAAGAGGGCCGTGGAGACTCAGTTACCTGGAACCTCACAAGATACACACCGACACGAGGAGATCTATGCTGCCCAGCGATACTCCCAATTTTTTGGATTGAATGCACTGGAGATTGCAACAATTGCCCATGCAAAGAGATTTCTGAGCCAACGAGTTGTTCAAAGAGTGGTCGATGGTATTTGGAAGGGCGAAATCGTTTTCTGGGATTCTCTGACAGTCAACTCAACAAAAAAGCCTCATATTTTCAACAATAGGTTAGACACGATGAGCTATAGTCCCACAGGGTTGCTGACTGTCTTCTTTCATTAGAACGGCTGATCCATATTCGCGCCTGAGAGTACCTCTGTACCGGAAGATCTTTGAAGCAGCATTTTTCATGTCTTTCCTCTTTCTCTACTACGCAGTCCTGGTAGAGAGGAGACAAGATGCCATTGGCCTCTTTGAAGCGGTGATGTATGTATGGATCGTCGCTTTTGCGTACGATGAATTGAGTGGAATCATTGATGCGGGGGTCGTTTTCTACCAAATGGGGTTCTGGAGTCTCTGGAACCTGAGCATAATTGGTGTTGGAATGGCATTTGTCATAACAAGTGAGTCACTCGGGTACTCTCAATCTGCCTTGCGGCTCGTTACTTCGCAGTTTATCTGTGGATTTTGCAGTTAATGAGAACGCCACAGGGGTAATCGGGCTGGCGAAGGGCGACAAACCCATTATTGAGCTCTCATTCGACATTCTGTCCCTTGAGGCTCTATTTCTTGTTCCAAGGTATGATCATTCGTGGAATTAATATCCTGGTGACAGGGCTGACACGAGATGATTAGGATCTGTTCTCTTGTGAGCTTGAATTCCTACTTCGGCAGTTTAGTAAGTGGATGCTGCATGTAACGTTCTAGAAAAGGATTGACCGATGACTATGAATAGATCCCGGTATTAAAAGAGATGGTACGATTTGCCCCGAATCCCCTCAAATGACTTTACGACCCAAGGCTGATTGAGTTTTTGTTTCAGACAAAAGCATTCTTCAGGTTTCTTCCGGTGGTGGTAGTATTGTATATTGGTAAGTGTGGCTAAGCAATTCAGCCCTAGGCGAATAGAATCCCTAAATCCCTGCAGGTTTCTTGACAACATTTACCATGCTGGCCCGTGACCGCTTGTCACTTAGTACAATGTCACATCTGCTAGTGAAGGTGTTCTTTGGGTATGGCGGTCAAATAATCCCTGATGTGACCGCTCTTTTTTTTTGACCATTTTACAGATCGAGTGTTCTTGGATTAGTGGGTTTCATAACCCTTTGACCTTTTGAACATTGTGCACTGACCGCTGAATCGATTGGATGATAGGACACCGCGTCTGAAGTAAGTCTGCGCACTAGGCGGCTGTTCTGCAGTTCCAATCGCAATCCCGAAGGATTGGCGAAATGGTTGGCTATCACGTTAAGTTAACTGACACGCTAATTTTTTAGATCTCCCCAATCTTCGGCTATGGCTTGATGTGAGTTCTCTTTTCTTTTCTTTTACACTTAGAAAGTCGCATGCGCCTCTGATCACGTTTCAATATGTGACCGGCTGTTGCTTTAGGACGCTATTAACATACGTTTACAACTTCCACGTTTTCTGATGCAAAATTAAAAAAAAAGAAAATACTAATAATAGGAAACTGACACAAATTTATAGGCTTACGTTCGCCCTGATGACCAATACTCTCATTCTTTCATCCTTGATCAGTTTGATGAGTATGAGCCTTGAAGGGGTAAATGAATACGATCTACTATACGCCGTAGTTGGCAGTTGATTAATTCCACTTCTGATAGGTGATGCGCCATGCCAGAGAAGAATATCTTTTTCAGTAAGTATACATCATGTCTGGCCAAGAAGTTGGCACTGCCCCATAGGAAAAGTCCATTATTAACCCAATCAGGTTGGCCATTTATGTTCTAGAAAGCAGCAATTCTCGACGACTAACATACTTCATGCCACCCCTGGTCCGTTAGAATTTGATTGGATTTGAATATCTTCTGGAATATTTCCAAGCTGACCTTCGGTAGAATCTTATTCCCCTCCTTTGTATCCGCCCCATGCGGCTTTTCCTCTCTGCTGGAACAGTTCGCCGCGTGCGCATTATCTTACTCCGAGCCACTCACCTCCCATTTGTTGCAATGATATGGGCATATGAGTCTAAATGGCAATCAAAACACAGTCAAAGTCCGGCACACAGTCAAGGCCCTGACCGTGTCCGGTGCCAGGACCCACATATAATTGGAACAAATGGGCTCTCTAGAAAAGCCAGTACGGATCAAGCCGCGCGTGAGCTAGTCGGAGTACAACTGGCGGATCTGATCAACACGGTAGAACGACTACGAGCTCAAGTGGAGGCAATTTCCAAGTGACGGCACAAAGTTCAAAGAGGGGGGTTCTCCTGGCGCTTAGGGCCACGCACGCCCCTGCAGGACCAAAGGCGCTAGTCGGTTGGCAGAGAGCCCTGACAACTCCAAACCGTTCGAGATGCTTGTGAACAACCATATCGATGAGCAGCCTAATCGAAACGGGCTTGGTGTGGTTTTTTTTTTTTTTTGATTCGGCGTTCGCCTTTTTTTTAGTTCTCCTATTTTCTTTTCTTTTCCTTTTTTTTAATTTTTTGGGCTTCCCACACCCCCTGTCCATGGCGTTTCAAGAGTACTCCTTTCCACCTTTCCAATCTCATTTATAGGGGAAATAGAGTAATTATAGATGAAGTGAATGAAAGGAATGAACTGAATTTAGATATCTACGGTTTGTCCAGGGACATATACCTGTGGAGTCAATGTGGAGTTTATGGTATGGTATACATGAAGCCAAAAGGGATCTGTTCTCGGAAGGGCCCGCATACTGCTCAAGTCACGATTGTTCGAAATCAATTTTACATACGCCGTATGGTCTCTCGAGATACATGCTTGAGGGCTGTGCTGGTCATCTCGACACCAATGCATCCTCGCCAAGCCGAGATCCAGAGACTCGGGCCCTGCTAATGTTTTTGTATGGCTACTGCCTGCATGGGACACGTCTCGGTTGGGCAGACCAGGCCCAACGGTAGTGAAATAGATTAGCCTTTACCAGACAAACCCAACAGCCGCCGTTATGCATCGTCATGTATATCTTGTATGTACTATGTGTACCATATGTACCACATGTACCCCATGTACTATGTATCAAATGAACTTCAAGGTACAGTCTCCTTAGACTAGGCTGTAAATACAACTGCCCTAAATCTATGCCTATGACATATATGATCCCGGAGCTAAAACCCTGACTTGTATCCATCAGACCTAGACTTACCCGGCCCTTAATGCCCCCCCACCCGATTTTCTCTTCCACCGCAATTACAGACCCTTCCCTCTCCAAATCTGCCTTGTCTGTTACGGCGTCAAGTTGTTGAATCTTCAACAGTTGTCGGTGTCGAATGCGGCACAAGCTCTTCTCCAATGAATTCATACCCTATCCACACTCTTCTCAGCCACCGATGTATGCTGCCGTCAATCACCAACAGCGAAGCTGTTGACTCAAAAGTCTTAGCTATATATACTTGGACTTGTCGCCCTTAATTCACTCCGATATAGACTAGCCTTTGGTTGGTTCGAGACTTCTGACTCTCGGTGCATTCTTCTACAACATGAATCCGACCCAGGATTTACTTCATCGCTCAATCACATCCCCGCGAAGAGAGGACAGACGGTCTCGCGAGACATCGACCTACTCATCTCCTGTGTCTACCTCGTCCCAAGGAGGGGTTTCCCCTATTGGTCTGGGGATCTCCCACTGCGAAATCGAAAATGCCTTTGGACAACTGAAAGTCTTCCCTCCCCCATCTACACTGCCATCACAACTGGTTCCTGGAGCACCAACCACCTTCGCATATGATGACTATACCAGCGGAACATGTTATCCACCAGTTTACAATGGACTCGCCAACAGTGCTTCGGAGACCTCACTAGGGTTCTACAGCCCCACGATGAGCGCCTCCCCCAGTTACAATCCTACTATGGAGGTTGTTCAAAGCCAGCATGTCTACCCCAGTCAACTGACCGACCTTTGGATGCACACACCTTGCTCGGGACCGGCAAAGCCATCGGATGTTACTCTAGGCACTGTAGCGAACGGATCAGGACAATGGGGCCAGAACGTGTTTCCGGATGCGTGTGTTCCCTCCACGATGCCCCTGTTGCCAGTCAACAACGTTCCCTACCTTGGAGCTATGGAGATGGGATACGACAGATCCTCCGGGCAGCACATCAACACAGGACTAGTCGTACCTCCACCACAAGCATCTGCCGATAGGATCGCCGATGGGGCCACAATCTCGAGCAATAGTGAGCGCGGCTCACCAAATGACAGGCTAGTGTCTGCCAGCGGCCTGGAATGCCCGATCTGTGGAGCCAAATTCACCCGACGCTCCAACTGTAAGGAGCACCAAAAGATGCACAACCCCGAATGGAAGAACAACCACCCGTGCAATGACTGTCACAAGACTTTTGGGCGAAGCTCAGATCTCAAAAGACATATGAGCACCGTGAGTGGAGAGACCAAAATGAATCAAGAATAGAGAGACTAATGAGGCTTCCAGGTTCATCTCGGGCTTCGGAGGTACAGCTGTGAGCTTTGCGACCGGCGTTTCAGTCGCCAGGACAGTCTCGCTAGGTAAGATTCCAGAATCTTGGTTGTTGTTGACTGTGTACGTGTGTACTGATGTAAATCATAGACATGATTGTGTTGACAAGCACCGCAACACTGGGAAGTCTACCGGCCACGCTGAGCCGTCTTCGCTTGTGCCCAGTCCGCGGCAACGATCGTCGAACCGACGCTCAGCTAGCTAACCCTAGAGGCTGATCCCACGTCTGCATGTTTGCATGTTTGCATGTTTAAATGAATATCGGAGGGAGGTATCATTCACATTCGCTCTGAGTCTTATGAATTGCATAGTTTTGCTAGTATGGGATCTGCTGGCCAGAGCCTTGCTTTGATTTGTCTCCGCTTTTGTTTTGGTTTTACTCTTGTTTGCTTGGCTTTATGAGATGATTCCTATTTGGATTGACTTATCTCATATGGCATGAAGTCCTATTTGGCATTGCCTGGTTGTTATATGATGCATTTTGGTTGGAATACGTGAATTACGGTGGTCTTTTTTGTTTTAACGTTTCAATGCATTCGCTATATCTTGATATATTACCCTGTACGCCGTACATATAACCCACTTCAAATGTGATATCATTTGCATGAGCTGGCGCGCGGGTAAGAGGAAATACCGTATATTGTACTTCGTCCCCTTTGTACTCTTCATACTCCCCTACTAACATCCAATATCACCTTAACACGTTCACGAGAAGACCAGGATCTCAACTTTAATTTCACGCAAAGGACGTGGAAACTATAGATATCTCTTATTTCCACGAGAAATAGGAACTCCCCAAGGCCCGTTGGACCTCGACTCCACCTAACGCCGAATCACACGCTAACAATCATGAGGGATCTTCAACATTCAATCTTCGAAAAAAGAGAAAAAAAATATCACCCTATTATTCTTGAGCGATACTATGGATCTGCTCACTAAATTTCGAAATTTCTATCTATTTTTAAAAAAAAATAAAGAGACAGAACTTCCAAAGCTCAATGCGAAGGTATCACTAGGTCATGTCTCACTTCCCCAGCCCTGACCTCTTCCTGCAATCCATTAATCCTTGCTCAATCACACGCTATCACATATATAAATATACGGAGTATAACGAATTCATTGTCAGGTTCCTTTCAACGGTCCCATTTTTTGCCCAAAGCTCTTCTCCTCCACTGAAGCTCGTCCCAAGTGGAGACCTAAGGATACTTGGCCATTTGGAAGTCTGCCTCTGCAGCCGCGGAGACATCGCGTCTGTTCGCCTATCTAGAAAATGGGTCCATAAACTATGCCTCTGTATGGGCCGATTCAATAGCCCCTGAGATTTTCTTCTAAGTGGGCCCGAGTCCAGTTCACTTACAGAGTACACTCTTTCCTGTCTGACCTCAAAAGACGTGATAGTCTCAACCGAAAAAATCAGAATACATTCATTATTGAAGGAATTCTTTCGGTTGTACTTCATATTTGCAGATCCCCATGATTCTCATGGAGCTATGGCCCCAAGCTAAAAAAAAAAAAAAAAAAAAAAAAACGTAAAAAAAAGGGAACTGTCCAAGCTCGATAATATTACCTAAAAAGGGTGAATGCCGATCTCTATACTCCGTCCTCCGTCCTCTGTCCTCCGTATCCGCAATAAACTAGGGGGAACAAAGAAATACTTGTCCCACTGTCTTATTGTGTGATGGGCCCAATTTCAAAACGGCCATCACAATCCTGCAACTTGTCACTCTTTCAGATGGGGAATGTGCCCTCTGCACTAGCACCAGCGCCACAAACACGCTGCACTACCAAGACCTTACAGTTGACACGGGTGCCTAGCCTGAGCTATCGTAATATCTATCTGAGCATCTACCCCTGAATCTAGGGATCTGAGAAAACCCTGAGGGTTGCTGCTCCTACTATATATGCTTGCATCGGCCAGACTGAGACAGTCATGATTGTCAGTATCAGTCAACGTCATCCGAAGTCTACTCATCAGGTAGATTTAGTGGGCTTTCGCATCAAGATCCCAAGAGAACTGGAAATTTGATTGGATGATCTTGTGTCATGGATACTGACATGGGTATCGCTCGATCAGCCCATCATACCTACCTACCTACGAGCTACCATGACTCATCACACTAAACAGTTCGTTCACTGGAACAGTTGACTTGTATACAGTAGGCGGGCTATATAAGACTTCTTTTAGAAAAAGTAAATGCTTTAGAGACATGCCCGATGCACCTGTGAAAAGCGGTTGGGAGATTAAAGAACTAATTAATGCTAGGTTTATTAAACTCGCCATCATATGCAGAGTATTGTATACTAACACTATCATCGTACATGGGCTGATCTATCTCAGGGCTTGGTAAACTTTGGTCTCAATTGGATCAATATGGGTCATTGCCAGCAGTTCCGAGGAGCTATATCCCGCCTTCTCTGTCTCGTGAATCTGGCTCCTGATATACTACAACGTAAGTTGGCAGTAGGCACAATCTAAAGGCACGATACACTTCCAAACTACTCACCATTTTCTCGAGTTCTCTCTTTTATGAAAGAAAAAAACACCAACATGAGTACTAGTAATCAAGAGAACGGATAGAATGGTAACGGTAATCAAGCCCTTGCGGTATTCCGGCGCATGGGCCCTGTTGCCCACGACAAGTGACAACCAGGCTTGGAGAACATGAGCCATTATGAAGATGTATGTAAATCGGGCAAACAATAATGACACATGAAGGTAGATTTATAGTCATACATCGACACAAGATCTGCGATGCATCGGGCCAGACCGATGCCAGATCCCGTTAGCCTTCTTTGAAGCTTGATCCCAGCTGCAAATATTTCCTCTTTCGATCTGAATATGTACGAGGTAGGGGATCCGCAATGAAGACAGTTAGGGCCATATTCGAAGCCTTGGAAGAGATCTAGCGAATCTGGCGAGAGTATCTCAGGTTGCAGATGTTCGCAAAGCTCATTATAGCTTTTGAAGCTCTTCCCACAATATTCTTTTTTCGGACAAAGGTAGGATGCCACTTGTGCTTGGATATTAAAGCTTTCGCCTATGGGGGATTAGCGATTTTCACATCATATATCATCTTGGATAAGCCAAAACAAACCTCGCTTATCTGCCCTGCTCTCACACATCCCCCGTCAGAGCACCGTGCTTGTGCGGAGTTTGATAATTTTTCCTGTCGTCGGGTCCTGCAGAACTACTCAGTCAAAATTCATAGCCACTGATTGAATATTTACCGTGGTCTAAATTGCGCATCCTCAAAAAAAGAGGACGAAGCCCATAGAGGCAATGGGGTCTGAAGTTTTACCGCATCATCCTCGGGTATATTTGAGAGCATATCGGAAATAGGGCCATTTGTGACACGACGACCAGCAAATACAGACATGCCAAGTTGCAAACCGGGATAAACACTTAATTGCCAATCCTCGGCTGTAATGAGGATCCAATTCTTTGGCTGGCCTAACACAGGGGTAAATAGCCATATCGATTGCTGCTGGACAGCATTCAAAATCGGGCTGTCTTTGAATGCGTGCTGTAGAAAATCTATAAATCCCTGTCTCACGTTGAAATTTAAGCTTCATCAACTTGACTAGCATAGAGCTATCTGAGATATCAGATTGACTGAAATCTTACCTCGAACATCCCACATACTTCCAACGGCACAGGGTACCTTCTCCCAGTCGCATCTTGGAATCGAATCGGCTTCTGGTCCCAAGGATTCTGAAATACATTGTCTATGTGTAGTTTGAGCTGCTCTGTGCCAGCCTGTAATTGGAGATTCAGGCTTTGCGTTCCATCTCTCATCTGCTGTTGAAGGTGTTGCATATTCTGACTATAATGAGCGACATCAATCAGCAAACCGAATAACACAAATCCTGGCTGAGCGGAATTTGCAAACTAACCTATGTATAGATTGCATAATAAATGTTAAAACTGCCGTGTAGTCTCGAATAGCCTTCCTAAACTGCAGAATCGGCCTCTTGCCGAAGAAGCTCCATGCAACCCGCTGTCTCATACTGACGATTTTCCTCGTTCCATCTTTGTTTGGGGAACTAGTATTATCCATAAATCTCTCCATGTGCCGGTTGAAGTCGTTTATCAGTCGCTCTATCTGAGAGAGCACATCTCTCGTTCTGACGACTTGATCATGAGAAAGTATTGCCCCGTTCGCCGTGGCATGTTGAAATTGAACAACTACACCCGGAAAGGCGTATAATTCAAGTTGACACTCTCAGTATAGCCTCGAGTCCTCTGACGTCTCGCTTAAGGCCTGGGAAAGCTTCCACACCAACGTAGCGACCGCCACAAAGTCGCCAACTCCGAAACCAAAGGCGGGGACCATGATAGCGTAGTATCTTCAGATAGATGGGGAGATCAGACTAGATATTTATTCTTGACGTCGGTTCATCTGGCAGGTTAAGGAGCATCAAGATGTGTCGGGAGTGTTGACCGTTTCTATGACACAGGCTCAAACTCCAGTGATAAGGCACATGTTTGTAAACATATTCTGCTTACATGTATGGGCGCTAAGGCCCGACTTACATCTCTCTTATTGGTTATTTCTATGAGGTAAGGCTGTGCTTTCTATGTAGGTGTTTGCTATTGGTTCTCGGGGATATGACACTGCAGATGACAGCGCGCATAGATAGGAGTAATCCATGAACAATGATACCTCATAGCCTGAAACACCTCGAGCTGCTCTCATTCTTAATCAAGTAGAAGAGCGTTGAATTTCTAACTTCCTAATACATTAGTTCCCTAGCTAAGACCTAGTTGTGACAATAAACACTGATCTGTTAGTATGTTGTATCAGATAGTTCGGAGATTTGTCTCCTTTCCCATACAACTCTCTTCTCCCTGCCGACTTCCAGGGCCTACGTAGTATTTATTACAGGTTACGAGCCCTTGGTTTCCCTTACTATTATTGAAATCATCTAATACTCGGGGGCTTATCTAAAATCTGATGAGTGCTATTGTCATACCACATTGGAAACCTCACCATCCATACTACTCGTTATATACATGGGTTATGGTATGACCACTTGAAATAACGCTATCTATAGGTATATATCCATATTTCAGAAAGACTGAAAGGTGTTCTCTTTTCATTCTCTCTTTATCGAATGCTTTTGGTTCTATCTGTGAGGCAAAAAGAGGAAGAGAGAGAATGTGGACAGGAGTTACTATCTGCCTGGGAGCTTCCAGGGATAGAGCTTAGAATTTTGGACTTTTCGCTTCATCAGAACAAGACTAGTCGCATATGGGGCATATATGCTTGACAATGTAACACTTGGATAATCTGATGTTGGATCGAGATAATGGTAGAGACATTATAAGGAAGATACTCTTCCGATGTCATTTTAAAAATTCTTCTTCCAATATATCTTCCTTCACGTACCTCATGCGGTCACTTCCACCTCCAATGGAGGTTTGAGCGTATCTTCCCGAGAGAGCTGACCTGCCAGAAGTAACTTGAGTCTCTCGCTCAGAGCCGCTCTCTCTTTAATCCAGGTCTCAGTATGACCTTCAATCAAAGGCAAACCACGCTCGATTCTTCCAGTATTAACCCATCCAATCAATTCATCGACATAAACTTGCTCTTGGTCCTTGAGTGAATGGAAACTTCGTCCAAGCCCCTTCTTCTCAACACGATTCTCATATTCCGTCCGGAGACTCGTAGTAGATGGAAGCTGTGCAATACCAGACAAGAAAGCTGTCACGGCAATAGCTTGGAACTCGAATAAAGAGAATGTTGCAGTGTAAAAAGGAATTCCAACAAATGCGAGCGTGGGATCTGGGATGTAGAAGATATCCTGATGTAAGTTGTGGACTTGGGTGCCATCTGTGACAAGCACTCTGTCATTTGCCTCGATGGCAGACATGCTGTAGTCGTTGTAATCGTCGAGGAATGGAAGTGCCATTTGGTATCCTGTGCAAAAAATAATTGTATCTATCTCATGCAGGGACTCCCCGGTTTTAAGATGTACGGTCAAGGGCAAGTGCTCGGTATCTGACGATGTTGTTGATGTTGAACATTCGAATGCTTCGACCTCGGCAATTCTTGACGAGTTTTCTGGAAGTGCACTCTCGGGGAGATCAAAGGCACCATTTCGGGTGCTTTGATACACATGATTTGCGGTTCCACTGATTTCCTTTGCTATATCGAGTGAAGAGACACCGCCACCCAGCAACAGTACATTCTGTAGTTTAGTTAGTCAAAGGCTACTCTTAGAATACTGGGATTGGTTTCACTCCTACCCTCCCTTCAAATCCTTTTGATCTTCGAAAAGACTTTGAATGGAAGATCCTCTCGGGCCATCGAGCTTTTGCTTTGGGTAGACCCCGTATATTTGGGACCAGAGGCGTATGGTAGTGACCTGAGGCAACAATGACCGAGTGAAATGTCTATAACCTAGTCAACACTCACATCTGAAAATGAAAATGTCTGGTATTATAGAGCTTAGCACTTACTGCAGACTCCTCCTTGTCAACGGAATCGTGACCTTCGCTCAAAGTACACCAGTGAACTGTCCATGTTGGCCCGTCCTTATAAACTCGGGTGACTCGGGCGCCATACTTGGTTATATCATCAACACCGGCCTTGTTCGACGTATCTTGGATATAATCCTTGAGCACATGATGTTTCACAAAATGAGCAGTCCCCTCTGGCCATGCATTGAGTTTCGTCTGTAGTAAGGGAGTCGAGACATTATTTGTGAGGCTTTCATAACAAGGGCTGGGAAATAGTGAGCACGACTGCTATATGAGAATGGAAAGATTGCAAAGTTGAAACTCACCCCGGAGGTGCATGAAGTAAGATCTTTCTCTCGTTTCCGGTCCTCTCATCTTTCACGTATTCCTGTGAAGCAGACGGTCTGGGTGATGGATACTGGGCTTCAATCGGAGTACGCTTGTCATAAAGCCTGCAATGTTTCAGTTCATTGTTTCCAGGTGAATGATAGGCGAAACAGATTACCAAACTCCGCCGGCTGCATTGTTTCTCTCAAAAACCGTCACCTGAATCCCAGCAGCCAGAAGATGGCCAGCAGTGACCACTCCACTGATACCAGCTCCAATAACAGCAACTCGAACCGCCTCACTCATGACTTTCACAGAAGTTCAAGAAGAAGAAAGAAGAAAGAAGAAAATAGGTTTATCCGCGTATACGTGGATTGTTCCTGCACTTATGGGATTTTCTGAACGACAACATGGGCTGATATTTCGCAATTGGGTCAAAGTAACTCGGAACAAACGGCATTGGATAGTGATCGTGATTTACATCGTGGATTGTGACATCGCCCTTATGGATTGGACAATATGGAATCAACCTTGAAAGAGGGGTAACATGGTAAGATGGTGATATGGCCGAGTACAAACTTATAGAGAGCGATTGACATTGGCTAAAAGGCGTAATGGATGATGACGATGATGTGCTCAAACCCTAGACCATTTATAAGATATGATGCAACCTTGATAAGAATACATTCCATTATCAATCACCATGGCACCCGCTCCTATTGATTCACGCATCGTCGACGTCGCAGTGCCCAGGAAAGACACCCTCGATCTTCCTGGGCCTGCGCGAGAGCGCTTAGAAAAAGCCGGGGTTGACCTCAGTGACGGCTACCCATACCGACCATCTCGTCCTCTCTATATTGATGATGTTTACAACGTGCGAAACTATGATCGCGTCCATGTAGACCCTGGCAGCCGAGCCGATCCCGAGAAGAAAGCACTTCTGTCCGCAGCCAAGGAAGTAATTTCGTTGACTAGGCATATTGGGACTGAAATCGTCGGGTTGCAACTGAAGGATTTGACGGACCAGCAGAAGGATGAGCTAGGCTTATTGATTGCGGAACGAAGCGTTGTCTTCTTCCGTGATCAGGATATCACCCCTCAGCAACAGAAGGAACTAGGGGAGTGGTTCGGGGAGATTGAGGTTCATGTATGTCCTGTCCAATCCAGCGAAAGTATGTACCAGTCACCAACTCTGTTTCTCTTTTTTTTTCTTAGCCCCAAGTGCCTCATGTTCCTGGCATCCCCGGCGTCAGTGTGATATGGCCAGCATTGCAGGAAACAGAGAGACCAGCGAGTTTCCGTCGACCGGGAGGGGCTTCTCGGTGGCATAGCGACCTCGTACACGAGAGACAGCCCGCCGGAGTGACCCATCTCCACAACGATACTGTACCCACAGTAGGAGGTGATACCCTCTGGGCGAGTGGATATGCAGCATATGAGAAGCTGTCACCATTATTCCGCAAGTTGATCGACGGAAGGACTGCCATCTACCGCTCGGCTCACCCATACCTCGACCGCAAGAACCCAGACGCGGGACCTCAATATGTGGAGCGCGAGCATCCGATTGTCCGTGTTCACCCTGCTACAGGCTGGAAGGCACTGTGGGTGAATCGGGCGATGACAGACCGAATCGTTGGGCTTGATAAGGCCGAAAGTGATGTGATTCTGGGATACCTATACGACGTTTATGAAAAGAATCCTGATATCCAGGTTCGATTTAAGTGGAGCCCACGCACGAGTGCCTTGTGGGATAACCGGTCAGTCAATACTCTGGGGGGATTTCTTGAAATTGAAGCTCATTTTTTCAATAGCATCACGATCCACAATGCAAGCTGGGATTATGAGGGATCCCAGCCTAGACACGGGACACGAGTGACTTCGCTCGCTGAGAAGCCTGTATTCGATCCAACTGCACCAACTCGGCGGGAACAGTTGGGCCTTTTGGGGCCAGAGGAAGTTGTAGAATTGGAGAAGTTGACTAGTCTCCTCGAACTGAAGTGATCAAGGTGCCACCTTGGTGTCCATAATAGGTCGGTAATGTGAATTGGTGCGGTTCCCGATATTCGCACACAGATAGGCTTAGTTGAATGCGATTTTTGATCATTATATAGTCACTTTGTGTAATCTATTGATCCAGCTGAGAATGTCAAGCGCCCAGCACACCCTAAATAATTTTGGGATATTGCATCTGATATTGAATCTAGTGAGGGAAAAAAAAATGTATCCCCCGGGGCGCATCAATACACCGGAGGTGTGTTGGGCGCTTGGCATTCTCAGCTGGACCTTCGGAGCACCTGATTTCCCCCAAGGCAAGGGGGGTACGGGGCCAATTCTGCCGGTCATTGCCGCCTTGAACCCAACGCATATCCTTTTCTGATTTATCTCTGTTAGGATTCATTGCTTTCTTTCATACCATTACTTTATTTTCAACTTTAATATTCAGCCAAAATGAGTGCCACCACAACAATTACCAGTCCGCCTGAGATCACGGTAGACAACGTCGCCACCCTCTTTCCTGAGGTCGATACATCACTTGCCCGTGAAATCCTCCCCACAAGCCAAACAAAGACTGCGCACAGCAGCGAGCTTGAGGGCTACGATGAGGAGCAGGTTCGCCTGATGGATGAAGTTTGCATTGTTTTGGATAACAATGACCGGCCCATCGGAAGTGCCAGCAAGAAGATCTGTATGTTTTGTACCCCATAATCACCTACAGATGTACAGAATGGCGGGGTAGTGACAGGCACAAATTCGAGATAAAATACTGACAGTTGCATCCACATAGGTCATCTGATGAGTAACATCGACAGGGGTCTCCTTCATCGCGCCTTCTCGGTTTTCCTTTTCGATTCCAAGAAGCGTCTTCTGCTCCAACAGCGCGCCACCGAGAAGATTACCTTCCCCGACATGTGGACCAACACCTGTTGCTCTCACCCCCTTGGTATTCCTGGTGAGACTGGAGCTGAGCTGGATGCTGCCATCATGGGCGTGAAGCGTGCTGCACAGCGCAAGCTAGACCATGAACTGGGGATTAAGGCAGAGCAGGTACCCCTGGATAAGTTTGACTTCCTCACAAGAATTCACTACAAGGCCCCCAGTGATGGAAAGTGGGGTGAACATGAAGGTATGCTACATGATACAGTGTATAATTGATTTCTTGAATGAAAACACTGACATTTTTGGTAGTGGACTATATCCTCTTCATCCAGGCTGATGTCGATCTGGAGCCCAGCCCCAACGAGGTCCGAGACACCACCTACGTCTCAGCTGATGAGCTTAAGGCGATGTTCGAGCAGCCTGAACTGAAGTTTACCCCTTGGTTTAAGCTCATCTGCAACTCTGTGCTGTTCGAGTGGTGGGGCCACCTTGATACTCCGGCCTTGGATAAATACAAGAATGAGCAGGAGATCCGTCGCATGTAAAGATTCCGGTGCATAATCTATTGCATATTTCGGTTTCATTTCGGTTTATGTTCTTTTTGCCATTTCTTGCATTCCTCGGAGCAAGCCCTCCTTTACGCGACTCATGGAAATATACCTCTGCACACCAGACGATTCTCACGACATCAATTCAGACATTTCATCCTTTCGGTTTACTTTTTAGGAAATCAAAAACACAATGCTTAGTCAACCGTTCATCCTTTGTTTGGGGAGTATTCCCACAGTACAGCATAGTCCTAGTGAGACCTGGTCGAGACAATAAGTACATGGATGCAATGGATATGACAAGCAGCTAAAATGCCCCAAAGTAATGTCAACGCCAGCGCTAATAAAATGACTTCAAAAATCCAACTGCACCCCGACCATTACTGCGCTGGATCTGTCGACAAAAACAAAATACAACTACCCAAAATCACCGTCCCAACGACCGTAAAGACAACCTGCGTTTTCCAACCACTCTGCACCAAAGCCGCCTTGCGCGCGTACTTCTTGACCGTGCGCGAGTAATTCGCAAACCCATTAGCCAGACAAGTCAAACTGAGAACCCAGAAAATGATCCCGACGGGTAACGCCATGCGTCTCTCTAGGCCGGTGGGTTGATCACGGAAATGAAAGGAGATGATGATGGCCAGCGACACGACGGCTAGATACATGGACAGACGGAGCCATGAAAGAAAGGTGCGCTCGTTGGCGCAATGGTCGCGGGCGTCGGAGGAGGTATTTTCGAAGAGGAGCGCGCCGAAGTAAGGGCGTGAAAGGAAGATGTGCCCATGTTGGGACTCGATATGTCTTCAAAAAATGTCAACCGGGCCGTCACTGTTGGGCAGGAATGTGGGGGTATGTCATGTGGCAAACTATCATCATAGAGCATGCCAGACTTGAATTTGAGGTACGGCATCATGTAAGGGATGAAGGCATCGGACAACGTGTTTTGCTCTCCCGCCAATTCTGCGGAGCCGGTTTGTGACTTACTCTTCCACGAGGACCGGCTTGGCATTTACCGGGTTGATCAAAGGGTTGAAGGGGGAACGAACACCCCCAACTTGTGTCACCGTTTGGGACATGATAAATGGGTTGACGTTCGAAACTCGATTATCCCCAAAATCTGGAGAAAAGCTGGGGACAGCCCTGGAGGGTCTGGGATCAGTCATGTGATGGTCTATACTGTTTTCGGAATGATGTCACGGTCATTTTGTGTTATCATTTCGAATGATCTGATGATCGACAGCCCCAGCGTTCATATGTTGCAGATCGGGATATTGTATGTATGCAGATCTACTCTTTTCATGGGCGGTATCGGGGTTTGATTTTATGTATATATATAGAGATATATATATATAATCGACATGATTGTTGAATATGATATTTTATGAATATATGAAAGTCATACTTGCCAATGAAAAGATCAGTAGAGTTGTAACTAGAAACAAAAATAGATTTACAATTGTAGAATAGGAGGAGGAGAAGAAGAAGAAGAAGAAGATAAAGAAGAAGAAAAAGGAAGACGGCTATACCAAAAAAGAAATACAGAAAAGAAATGCTCACACTCGGAATCGAACCGAGGATCTCATCATTACTAGTGATGCGCTTTACCGCTAAGCCATGCGAGCTGATTGATGCAACTACCCATTAGGTTTGTCTTTATCAAGTAAAAACTTTTGTAAAACTAAGACTGCCCGCATCGAGCTTCCTTCCCGGGCCTTAGTGGGCCGTTGAAAGTAGTGACTAGTGTCTTGGTACACCCCAGAGCTGCATTGAGAAAGGACCTCCCGATGTCGTATGGCAAATCATACACAATAACTTTGAAATACATGACTCACATCCCTTACCGCCCCATGAAGTGTTATCTACATTATCATCTTATGGAAGCTTATTTCTGTACGGAGTACATTACAGAAGATCCTGAATGCCTGAACCCGGTCCAGACGTATTTTTTGGTATTGTTGGTATTACGAATACATCTCCGCATCCAGCTTTAAGCCGTCTTTTTCTTTCCAAGCTTTTCACCTTCTTTAATATCTCGAGAGCTTCAAATACCCGGGGTCTCAACTTGAGATAGCTCAATTTATCTTGCTGTAAATAATGCGGCCGTAAAACACCCATAGCCTCATCTCTCACATCTTATCATGGGCCCCCGAAACATCCGCTCGGTGGATTCCGCCGAGCATCAAAGCTCATTTAGCCGATCCTTTACATCCAGCTCGCCCATCGCCGCTTTCGCAATTGCACGGGATCTTGCAGACTACAGCGATGAGGATCAAACACCTACCGATGAAGCTTCTGACACCTCAACGGCCCGTCCACCCGCCAGCTATACCAACACCAACCCCCACTCTTTAGCTGGTTCATACCGCCGCCCCGGTCACTTCACATCTGTCAGTCATGCGACTATAATTCCGTGGACCGGGGAACAGCAAGCTCTATCTCAAAGTGAGCGTGAGCAAGTCATTGAAGAAGAACGGAATCTACTCAGTGATAATCATGTTATCGCACCCGAGCATGCGTATGGCAAGTCCAACGGGCTACAGCACAAGATGAGCGGCCTGCTATCCGCTGCTGTCAGCCAAGGATCCTCGTCTCGACGACCAAGTGCATCTTCTCGACGTTCTAGAAGCAGGGATCCTGAGACAGACGCGGCAAGCGAAGTCACTGCTCTGCTAGGAGAGAGGCCTGCTGATGCAGAGGGCAGTGAATTGGGCTTGGAAGAGATTGATCGGAGGTGGGAAGAAGCTGTCGCAGCTGGTCTGATCCAGACGACGTGGCAGCGCGAAGCAAAGGTCATTATGAAATATTCTCTGCCGCTTATGGTCACTTTCTTGCTGCAGTATTCCCTGACCGTGGCTAGTATCTTTACTATTGGCCATCTAGGAAAGGAGGAGCTTGGAGCTGTCAGTCTTGCGAGTATGACTGTGACAATTACCGGGAATGCAGTGTACTCGGGTCTGGCGACGAGTCTGGATACGCTTTGCGCGCAGGCCTATGGCTCTGGGAAGAGAAAGCTGGTGGGCCTGCAAATGTTGCGTATGGTGTACTTCCTTTGGCTTATCACCATTCCAATTATGTTTCTCTGGTATTTCTCCGAGCATATCCTTGTCAAGATTATACCAGAGAAAGAGGTCGCTGAGATGGCGGGTCTGTATTTGAAGATTGCTCTCTTGGGAACCCCAGGATTTGCTCTCTTCGAAAGTGGTAAGCGATATCTCCAGGCCCAGGGTGTTTTTTCTGCCTCCCTGTATGTCCTCATTGTCTGCGCGCCACTGAATGCTTTCATGAATTGGTTCTTCGTCTGGGTAAGTACTTTCTAGCCTTTTGATGAAGACAATACTAATTTTGGATATCAGAAACTTCAATGGGGCTTCATTGGTGCTCCGATAGCCGTCGTAATCACAGAAAATCTCCTTCCACTCTGCCTGTTCATCTATGTTTATTTCTTTGTGGGATCCGAGTGTTGGTGCGGATTTAACAAACGAGCATTCCAGAACTGGGGCCCAATGATCCGTCTCGCACTCCCAGGGCTGATCATGGTCGAGGCAGAGTGTCTGGCATTCGAAATTTTGACGTTGGGTTCAAGCTACCTCGGCACGTCCGCACTCGCAGCGCAATCAATTCTCGCAACAATCGCCAGCATTACGTGGCAGATCCCGTTTCCCCTTTCTATTGCAGGCAGCACGCGGATAGCAAATCTGATCGGAGCTACCTTGGTCGACGCCGCGAAGATCTCCGCGAAAGTGAGTTTATGCGGAGCAGCCATCGTTGGCGTGTTCAACATGGTTCTTCTCTCATCTTTGCGTTCGTATATCCCCAGATTATTCAGCTCCGATCCCGAGGTTGTCGAAATTGTAGCGCAGGTGCTTCCGCTCTGCGCAGCTTTCCAGCTCTTCGATGCTGTCGCGGCAAACTGCAACGGTATTCTCCGTGGTCTGGGCCGCCAGGAAGTAGGCGGCTACATCCAACTATTTTGCTACTATGCGATTGCCATGCCTCTTAGTATGGGAACGACGTTTGCTTTAGATTGGGGTGTCATGGGCTTATGGACTGGGGTTGCTCTTGCACTTGGCCTTGTTTCCCTTATCGAGGGCATCTTTATCAGTCGGGCCAATTGGAATCGTTCTGTCCAGGACGCTATAGCAAGGAATGAGCAGACTTGAGATGACCCCTAGTACATAACAAGAGAAGCGTCAACATGCCTCAATTCCCATATGATATAAAATGGTCAAATTGTTCCAACACGTGACTCTTGTGGTGCGTTCTGCATGGGCGGTGGCTTCAGCTGATTTTTGATTCAGGCTGGTTCTCATTTCCAGACCTGTTGTCGATTATGTCTACATCTCTCCCCCCTTTTTTTTCCCCCAAAAGAGCCATTAGGACTCTTATCAGATGTTATACAAGAAAACAAATCATGATATCATTGGAGTCTCAATGCGGCTTTTAACGAACAACACAGAGATGACCACTCACATCTCTCTAGTACTCCAGGATAGCCCATGTCTGCTCATCCATGGTGGAGAAGATCACACCAGCACTGAGAAGTTCCTCACCAGCCCTGGCCACTTCAGTCGCAGGGATGTTCAATTTAGAAGCGATGACCTGCATGTGTAGGCCGGTATCATCCTGAGGCTCAGTCTTGAGTAGGCTATAAATCTTCTTCGCAACAAGCGACATTGAGGCAAGAGCCTTGCTCTGCCCAGCACTGTAGTCATCCGCACCACCCATAACAGCATCAGCACCACCCGAAGCAGCATTTCCGCCAGCAGGAGCGGCACCAGGTGGACCGCGAGTGAAGAACAAATGCACAGCAGTGGCCTCGAGCAGATGAGTATGCAGCTCATTTATATTCGACAAAGGACGGACAGAATGAGCACCAATGTACCGCTTGTTACCAAAGGACTTGATGGAACCAAAGACCCGGGCGTAACCGTTGAGCACGAGCTCAGTTTTCCCATCGCCGGGCGCCTTGCCATCGTCGGTGTCCATGTTGTCAGCAGTGGTCGAGTCAACCCATTTCTTGACTTCGATCTCGCCAGTGCCGTCATCAATCTTGTATGTCACATTGGTGCTTTGAGAGCTGATGTTGCGTACTTGGCCCATAAAGAGGACATTGGCGACGTCGGCACCGTCGATTTGAAATGGGGCTTCGGGGAAAGGCTGCGAGGCGTCGAGCACTTGCTTCACTGTCACGGGACGAAGGGTCTTGTTGTCCCGATCATTGGTCTGTGTTGAGTATTAGCTGCTATTGCTTTGTATAGAAATCTGTAATCATGTCCAGACCTTGCCTCCGGCGGGACTGCTCGCCTCGCCCGGCATGAATCCTCCGCCGCCGCCGCCAAATGAGTTATAATTGTTGTAATTGCCGTCTAACAACATTGTTAAATCATAAATAAATATATATATATTAGACTGGCAGTGATACATACCCATGGTGTGTGTTGTGTTGTAAAGGGAAAAAGTCAATGAACCGTCTCTTCAACACCATTTTACTCAATTGGGAGCGTGTTGCACGCGTCGCGGGGATCGTGTTTTGCCTTTGTGGACCGCCTTCCAAATTGGACTACGCCATCTACCCTCAGTCGCCTGCGTTTTCAACTTGAGCTTCGATACATGGTATATCCTTATTTTATGTAAAGCAATTGCTCCCAAAAACAATTATTTCCTTTTGATAAAGTGTTTCTTGCCTCCAGATTTGCGAAATGGCATGCCCAAAGTGTCTTAATCGAAATGAGCTATGGATTTAGTAGTTGCTGGAAACTTCGACCACAAGTTGCGTACATACTGAGTCTACGTTGAATCCATATCATCTTTTCTCCGTGACTAGTCGAAATTTGAAACATATCAATGTTTCTATGAAGGTGTTTCTACATTTAGCGCAGATTGTATAAATTCTGTTTGTTTGGTTTGCATGCGGGAGATGGTTGATCCGGAGTTCACCGCCCGCGATTCTCTCAACTTTTTTTTTTGCGACAGAAAGACGGCGAGATAAGTGACTCGACTTTTCTTCAGGTGTCTGAAGTTTAAGCAGTCGAGGGTTCGGTTGCGTGATACGATATTTAGTCACTGCAGATCCATTTTTGTTTTGAAATTCCCCCCGGCCATTGAGGAGCCGAACGATATAACGCTTATCACTGTATTTTCATATCAGTCGAGGCTTCACAGCATACCGCAACAATGCCTCGCCGTGCTGCCTCTCCCGCAGAGTCAGAGGTCGAGTTCGACATCACGAAATCCCTTTTTGAAAATGATAGCGATTCCGATGCCGGCCCAAAGCCACCCAAGAAAAAGAACCAGAAGCCGGATACCAACGAAGATCTCGACTTTCTAAACGAAGATGATGGCGATGCGGCCTTCATTGCAAACTCGCAGGCATCCGCCAACCGAAAGGGTGCCAATCTCAAGGGCCGTACTGTGAAGAAGGGAGGTGGTTTCCAGGCAATGGGTCTCAGCATGACTCTGCTGAAAGCCATTACTCGCAAAGGATTTTCCGTTCCTACCCCGATTCAGCGAAAGACTATTCCCGTCATCATGGACGACAAGGATGTGGTTGGTATGGCCCGAACTGGTTCCGGAAAGACTGCCTCATTCGTTATTCCTATGATCGAGAAGTTGAAGAGCCACAGCACCACGTTCGGTGCACGTGCTCTCATCATGTCTCCATCCCGTGAATTGGCTCTGCAAACCATGAAGGTCGTTAAAGAGATGGGCAAGGGAACGAATTTGACATCAGTGCTTCTCATTGGTGGTGACAGTCTGGAAGATCAGTTCGGCATGATGGCCAACAATCCCGATATCATCATTGCGACACCAGGTCGATTCCTGCATTTAAAGGTTGAAATGGATATGGATCTCTCAAGCATCAAGTATGTTGTCTTCGATGAAGCCGACAGACTTTTCGAGATGGGTTTCGCCGCACAGTTGACCGAGATTTTGCACGGCCTGCCCACGAACCGCCAGACTCTTCTCTTCTCTGCTACATTGCCCAAGTCACTTGTTGAATTTGCACGCGCTGGTCTCCAGGAGCCAAGTCTGATTCGTCTGGACACTGAAAACAAAGTTTCTCCTGATCTACAAAATGCCTTCTTTGCTGTCAAGTCATCAGACAAAGAAGGTGCTCTACTACACATTTTGCACGATATTATCAAGATGCCTACCGGTGAGACACATATTGGCGTAAAATTACGCCAAGAGGCCGAGAATCCTACAAGGAAGCGTAAGAGATCGGATGTTCGTCTTCCGAGCGGCTTCAAGGAATCGCCTACCGAGCACTCCACCATCGTGTTCGCTGCAACCAAGCACCATGTCGACTACCTCTACGCCCTTCTCGTTGAGGCAGGGTTTGCCACCTCTTATGCTTACGGCTCCCTGGATCAGACTGCTCGTAATCACCATGTTCAAAACTTCCGATCCGGTATCTCAAACATTTTAGTCGTCACCGACGTGGCCGCCAGAGGTATTGATATTCCTGTTCTTGCCAACGTCATCAACTACGATTTCCCTTCGCAGCCCAAGATCTTCATTCACCGTGTTGGTCGTACTGCACGTGCTGGCCAAAAGGGTTGGAGTTACAGTCTTGTTCGAGACAAAGATGCCCCGTATCTTCTGGATCTTCAGCTGTTCTTAGGACGTAGGCTGGTTCTCGGTCGCCAGTACGGCACTGAACTCAACTTTGCGGAGGATGTTGTCGTTGGAACGCTGCCGAGAGAGCCAGTATCTCGCACTTGCGAATGGGTACAGAAGGTGCTCGACGATGACATAGATATTTACGGACAAAAGCAAGTGGCTCAAAAGGGAGAGAAGCTGTATCTACGCACCCGCAATTCGGCCTCTGCCGAGAGTGCGAAGCGGTCGAAGGAGGTCGTTTCTTCGGATCATTGGGCCGAGATTCACCCGCTCTTCAACGATGCAACCAGTGAAAGGGAAGTTGAGCGAGAGAGTATGCTAGCCCGAATTGGTGGTTACCGGCCCCATGAAACGATTTTCGAGGCGAACAACCGACGAGGCGGCAAAGTGGAAACCAATGAGGCTGTTGACACCATTCGAAGACTTCGCACTAGTGTCGAGAACAAGAGGAAGCGCGCCGATGCTAAAGCAGAGGCCGAGTTGCAAGCACTTGGAATGCCCACTCCCGGCGAGGATGGTGAAGTGGACGAGGATATCCCCGAACAAGCCGGCGAGAACATGTCAGAGGCGTCTGACGATGAACTTGAGGTCACTTTCTCCGCTTACAACTCCAAGCCCAAGCAAGGAGAGAAGAAAGATGAAGCGGCAGCATTCCAGAACCCCGATTATTTCATGGGCTACACACCTCAACACAACGACATGGCTGAAGACAAGGCTTACGGTGTGCACTCCGGTACAAACTCGAACTTTGCCAGCGAGTCTCGCAACGCGACGATGGATCTCAATGGCGACGAAGGTAAGCGCGGTTTCGGTGAAGCGCGCTCCATCATGCGTTGGGACAAGCGACACAAGAAGTACGTTGCCCGCCAAAACGACGAGGACGGCTCCAAGGGCAGTCGACTTGTGCGCGGTGAGAGTGGTGCCAAGATCGCAGCCAGTTTCCGCAGCGGTCGCTACCAAGCCTGGAAGAAGGGTAAGCGTGTGGATCGGATGCCTCGTGTTGGTGAGGCCGAGACGCCTACTATGAACAACATCGACTCCCGCATGAGCAGTGGCCGATTCCGACACAACCAGGACCGGGCGCCTAAGCGTGCTGATCCTCTGCGTCGTGACTACGACCGGATGAAGAAGAAGAACGATGCGGCCCGTGAACGCCAGCACGAGAAGTTGGGAGGTGCGGCATATGGTGGAAAGAGCGAACTTCGGTCTACGGAGGATATTCGCAAGGCACGGAAGCAGGTCCAACAGCGTCGCGATAAGAATGCTCGGCCATCGAAGAGACGTTGAAGTGATTAGGGAAAAGTTTTACTGTAGAATAGATGTCTATATTGCAGAGATACCATTTGTGTTCGGAGAATTTTTTTTTCTTACGCCGTGTTTGAATCCGGGATTGAGGAATTGCCTAGGACACCACATGGGAGAAAAGAAATTGGGTAGCGTAGAGTTTTCCCTCGATCTTACGGAGTAAACGAAGACAGATTGGAAAGTTGACTACCATGAGATTGAAACTTGGCCATGCAGGCCATCACGTTTAAACCCTTATGATTCAGGGCAGAGTGATCACGATGTGATCTCAGCCTAATCACACTAGAGTACGCTAGAGGACCCTAGAGGCCTCGGGCCCCTTACCCGTCAGAGTACATCCTGTCTGACATGAATTGCGAAAGGGTTCAAGACGAGATAGACATTGTAACCGTTGAGACTAGGAGAATTCCGAATAATCTCCGGAACTATTTGACGCTAAAAGACCGGCGAATTTTGATCTGATCGAATAGTCTCCACTTGACAAATTAATAGGGCGACAACATATAGTTTTCGGTACAAAATTGGGTATCGCCAGTGAAGATTTATGATTGGCAGATTCCCAAACCAACTATATAATTGTACAGACTATTTAATCCTGCATGAACGGGGTGACAGACCCCTTGCTGCTCCGCGTGCCGCATGTTCCACACCCCTTTTCCCTAGATGCCGAGTATATCTACAGGTTATCCACGTTATAATGTGCGGTAGCGTATACCGAATGAGTATGATTTGACATACCAGATCATTCCTCTTCGATACCCATGACGTGAGATCGGGGAATCCCTGCCGTTCTTCTCAGCCAGGGATGATCGACAATGCGCACGCGCAGAGGCGAAGGGCAATGTGATCGCCCTCGGCGCCAGAAGGCTGCAGCCACATCTCTATTGGGGTCCCCGGAAAATAAAGTAGACCCCGATCCATTTTTCAGAGCTCTGCTTGAATTGAAATCCATGGCGACCCTTTTCGGCTTGACTCTCATTAGATATCCATCGAAACTAATCAAATCCAAAAAGGTCCGAGTCCGACAGTGCCACATAATCAGAGAACCGCTCCCCCCTTCTGCTCCCTTCTGCTCCCCAAGGGTATTACAAGACTGTGGTTGCGAAACTCAGTATCACATCAATTCCAGAAAATCCTCCAGAAAAAAAGGAGCGAAGGGAAAGGGGACAATTGCGGTGCCTGCAGTTGTCCGACTCAACTGTGAGACTTTTACATCTCTGATCGACTGTAACCGTAACCCCCTAGACGGAGCATAAAAAAGGAACTTGGTCTTACAGATGATCTGCCCGGGTGGGTCGGAGAATAAGGGGATTTTGTAAATGCTTAAAAGGGTTCAAGGGTTTAGGGAGATTGAATGGGAGATTTGGAGATCGGATTGGAAGAGTGTCCTGCTTCAAGGGTCCCGACTGTAACCCTAAAAAATCCAACATAGGTGACTATACGGAGTACTCCATCCCATTTCATGATACTGATTATCGATCTGGTCCCGTATTGTGTATCTAGATAATCATTGTAAATGTACACGCAATAATCCACGCCGAGGTTGACTATTGGCAATGGCTGCGGGCGACGTCGATCAATCTTCCTTGCTTAGGTCCTGATTCGGTATACACTGCCCCTCTCCGGGAAAAATGGAAAAATGGAAAAAAAAAGAGAAAAAAAGAAAGAAAGGGAAAAAAGAAGTGCTCACTGGAATCCAATCCCTTCCTTTTATTTTTCGCCCTCGGAGGGGTCTAACAGGGCTCTGTTGAAATGGAAGTTCCCCCAGTTCCTGAATAGGGGGGGGGTTTCAACAGGGGAGAGAATGAAAACAGATTCTCCTTTTTTTCTCAGTAATAGTATATACTCCATATCAATTAATTAAAAAAAACAAAAAAACAAGAAAACAAAAAAGAAAGGAGTCTAAGGAGGGGCACCGTTAATATCCATTTATTCTCCAATGATCTACCATGACGAAGATCAAGTCTATCATTTACTAGCGCCTGCATGGACCAGATTTGTATTGATATGTGATCAACTGGCTTGGAACTATCGAACGCCGTAGGAACATTCAAGTGGAGTGGTACTTGGAGTTGTTCCATTTGGGCGACATCTTACTACTTTGGGGTATAGTTCACCGTTTCCTCCCCTTAAACAAGTTACCTGGAACGTGGGACGTGTGATCAAGAGGTAAGGCGTGGGGTGCTTTGACATTTTGCTGCACCTTGATCCTAGCTCAATGATCGCCTGCAATAAGTCGCCCTGGGAAGACATGCGTATGAGTAACCCTGTGTCCTGCTGTCATCTAGAAATCTTTCGATGCAGTCTATTTTCTGACTCCTCCAATAGCGGATCTCTCCGTATTGATTATAAGCTTGAGTTCTGGGTATTGGAAGACCTTGATGGACCTTCTTCTCTATCTTCTACACCGCTGCGCTTTCTTTCCTTCGACCTCCATCTACTCAGACATGCTGCACCAAAGTACCGCCAATGCCAGCGGTCTCTGCTTGTGAATTTCAAAGATCGACCTAACAACCAACCGAAAGAAAACCAGGTGGAAAAAAAAAGAAAGAAAAAAAAAAACTAAACTAAAGAAGCAATTGCCCTGTGGGCCTATTCCCTTCTTCGCCCGAGACCCCGATGCAATCACTCGTGCTTCACCCTCCGAGCCTCACTATCTCTCAGTTCGGACAGCCCCGATTCAACCAGGGCCCAGAGCGGCTACCGTTGAATCGATCTTGGTCCCCCAATGCTCGAGGGTGTAGCCCCCGGGCTCCTATACCCTGTCAATCTATGTCTGGATCCCCTCCAGCAAAACCCTCGGAGCCATCCGCAGAGATTAAGCCTCGGGGACATCCTTCTTCGCCCATCCCGGCGGAGCGATCTGTATCTGCATTGGAGCTATCGCAAAGATCGGTTAATGAACCATTGCCACGGGTGGGATATAACGAACAGGGACCGGTATATGCTGGATCTCGACGACCGGGAGCACCGCCATGTCCACCCCAAGCACTGGATCCAACGCAGTCCACAGGTCGCTCACTAGCACAAAAATCAACGAGACGCACAAAAGCTCATGTAGCATCGGCTTGTGTCAATTGCAAAAAAAAACACTTGGGATGTGACCCGGCTCGTCCATGTCGAAGATGTGTACTTGCTGGAAAGGCCGTGAGTTTTCAATCCCCGTGGACTGTGGAATCGCAACTGACAAGCAGGCGGAAAGTCAACATGTGTGGATGTCACACACAAAAAGCGAGGACGACCCCCGTTAAAGGCAGAGGATTCGTCTCTCAGGTCCTATACCACTCATTTGGATAACCCGACAATCCCAGCGGAGGCTCACCCAGCCATGCCCCCGCGGCGGACCACTATGCATCGGGCGACATCTTCACGCGAATTACGGCCCATGACGGATCTACAGGGATTTGCAGATACAAGCTCGGCAAGCGTACGGACACCACATCGGTGGTCTGCTTCGGTCTTTCCTCTGACGCGGCCTATGGACCCTTCCCCTACTGTCCCAGGGGGTATGATTCGACGCCCATTCTCTTCATCTGGACCACCATCTCATTCAGTACCAACACATTCACACGTACCTTCACCATACATGCCGATGACAGGTGGGTTCAATCCAGCCCTAAAAGTCAACACCATGTCTGGCATGGAGCGGCGATTCCCAACGTACGGTATGCCAGCATTACCACCACCAACATCACCTCCCCAACATCAGCCGCCACCAGTTAGTATACCATTTCTACCGTATAATGAGACGCCTGGAAATTCTGTTCGCTCCACAAATGATCCACGAGTGTCGCTATCCCCTCGGGATCCGTATAACATCGAATCACCAGTCCGGCTCCCTCCAATCCATCAAGCTACAGCCGGGCCACCACCTCCCCACCATGTCCATCGCCTGAGCGACCCATACCCAATGAACTGGACTTTTCCAGGTCGAGAAGAAACCCTTCCGGACCCTCGCGCTGTACCTCTCCACAGGTCTGCGGGCCCAGCCTTCAACTACTCCATTCCCCACCAACGCTCCTCCTCCATAACAAGCGCAACCATGGACCCCATACCCCGCCACTTGGGGCCAGTGGAATTGCCATCCCCGATCCAGATAACATCCAGCAGCTCGCCCTCAATGACGAGAACTGCGCCACCCACCACCGAGGCCGAAGGTCATGACAACAGACCTATCAAACGGCGCAGGATGGCTTTGGATGACATGGTCAACGGCTGATTTCGACACCCTGCTCTCACCCCCATCTACAATCCTGATACTGATACCAATCGGAGGCTGGCGTTCCTCCTTGTACTGTATAATCATACTCTTGAAACCCCTGTAGCAGGGTCTACGGGGACTAATCATCGCGTCGTTTGGGGGTTCATTGCCGGTGCAAGCACCGAGGAAATGATTCGATAGACAATCTTGGTTTCGTTTCGTCGGCTTAATCTCGTTTCCCCTGCTCGGTTTGTTTTCTTTTTTGCTTGAAAGTGCAGGACATCAGAAAGTTATGTTCTCATTGCCCGGTGTTTTTCTTTCATTTTTCCCTATGTCTTTTCTGTTAGGATATCCCATCCGCATTGTTACCAGTTTGTGCTTTTTGCTTTTTAACATATCCCATCTCACGACAGGTTTCGGATTTTCTGATCTCTACTCTGCTGGACACAATGGAAGGTGGCTAGTTGGGGGTCTCATTTGTCATCTCCTTTGTCATTGCTATCTTGTCGTATTCTTGCATCTCATTTGTCTATCTTCGGCTGATTCCCCTTCTCGCGAGTACCCCCTATAGTTGATGCGCGATTTTTTGTCCCTAGGACACATGGCCCGGCGTTTGCGCGGCGAACATGGGGGTCGTCTTGCTTTGGTTTTTGCTCTATCTTTTTTCCTGGGTATGAATGTCATTGTCAACTTGGGTTGGCTGTTTACCTTGATATTGTGTCTGTACATGTATACGTATCTATATACTCATAGTAAGAACCAAAAGACCCCCATTGACTTTGGATTTTGTCTTCATACAACGAGTAGAATTGCATTCACTACAAAATCAATAATAATATTAGTGAAGAATGAGAATCAAAAATAGAAAAAAATGCACTAAGAGGGAATCGAACCCCCGGCACAACATAACTTAGTAGTCAGGTGACTACTTGGAAGTGTTATATGTTACCACTACACCATTAGTGCTTGTTATGGAAGACTGACGTATGTTTTATCCTATATTCACCAAATCTCGAATTCTGTAGTGCTAGTTTCTGATAGCATGAGAACACTTGTTAAGTATCTAAAAGAATTGCAATTGCTAGTATCTAAGTTATGGGGCGAGCGACCGTGAACAACACTAATCAGTAGTATTTATGACAAATAGTGGTTGTAAAAGAAAATATATAATTGTCGTTGTTAGGTACTGGGGTTGACGATATATATCACTGACATTGTTACCCTATTGTGACAATTTTTTGCTGAAAAATCCCAAATAAATGCCATTCATAGGAGTGAGCTTCTAGGTAGATACCCAAATATAGGTAAGTAAGCAAAAAAAAAAAAAAAAAAAAAAAACAGTCAATTGTATCCATCGACGCGTTTGAGGTACCGACTTTACGCGACTCTCTTACCGGGGATGTTGAACTACATGCGTTAACTACAATTATTTTGGACATACGGAGTAGATATATACATACGTAATCCCTCAATCTGTGGGTGCTGTCATATGAAATACTTGATTTACCAAAGCCAGGGAAGACTTTAAAACATATAGAACGGGCCTAGGACATGGTGGAGAGTTTTCGGTATCTGATGAATCAGAAAGCTGTTCGATACAATGACTACTGGAGTCGAAAGCAAACACGAGTCAAAAATTAAACGGTAGTACCTCCATTTGACCAACCGACAACGGAATAGCGTAGCAGAGGAGCTTTTATTTGGCTGATTAGCATGTTTTTGCGCAACTCGCTCAAGTAGTGCTCACCGTTCCATCACCCACACCAATTTCACCGAGTGAAACCCGCACCACGTCCCGTGTCCTCTACCAATCGATCACACAGACTGTCCATCTCAGCTTGCATATATGCAGTAGCGCTATCACGAAATTGACTATTCTCAAAATCAATCAGTCGCACGGTATCATCTTGCACAATGAAATTGTATCTATTAACATCGCCATGGAGGATGCCAATATCATGTAACCGCTGAAGAGCAGATTGACAAGACGAGAGATCCTTGATGTTTGCTTCCCGCCCCTGGAGCTTTTCCAGTATGAAGCCGATCACACGACCATGCTCGTGGACATGACCAATGAAACGTGGGGCTAGACCTGTGTTTTCTAAGCTTCTGTAGACAAGGGTCTCCGCTGATAGACGAGGTAGCTCCCACTCAAACCGTGCAACTTTTGCAATAACAAGTGGCGATCTCGTAGCACTTGATGATTCGTCACAAGTGTATATTGCTTCGTACGCGGTAGCAGTTAACTGCCTGACCCTTTTTAACTCAAGACAGTCAATCAACACAGGATGCCACAGATCAGTAATACCGATGAAGGCTTTGTGCTGAAGATCCATGATGATCTCACCGCTCGACGGATCTCGACTGACATACGCCATATTCCAGGTGTCATCTTCAGGAAATTCGGGCAACGAGCTCAGGGGCATAGAAAGTGTGGATCGTTCGAATGTGCCGACGCTGATTGTTAAATATCTGACCTGACTTCCCACCAGAATTCTGTAGTCGCTGTCATCCCTGCTCGAAACATCCATCGAAAGGACCCTAGGAGGTGATAGTATGTGGCTCATCTGGATGGTAGATAGGGGTAAAAAGGCAGTCGGTAAGACACAATTATGTACGGAGTAGGAAGTGTGTATTTTTAAGAGCCAGCCACAACGCCAACGAAACGACGGAAAAGTCGGAATAGCTTGAATCACAAGGGAGGAAAGCGTGGAAAAGCGGGGGAAAAACGTCAAAAGGCAGACGAATTTACCAATAGCTGTGTGTATTGATGTGATAGATTTGATAGATGTGATAGATGTGCTATGGATATGCACAAACATCAGCCAATTACCGATTGGCCTTGCAACAGAGCAATTTAATGGACATCCTGGTCAAGTGCACATAAATAGAAGCCCGCAAGGCCCCACATCGAGCGTAACATAGCTTGTTTCACGCCGTAATCATGGCAGGTTTAACATGATAGCTATCCCAAACCTCTCTCCGGTAGCATGATGTGCAATTCTTGTACATCCTGCGCTGCTACTCAGACATTTGAATATCTCGATACACCAGTCTTCCCTTCATCTGTCGAAACGTGCTGTGAGACATGAGTTTGATTTGCTCATCCACAGTACCATCAAGCACTCTTGACTGCCCCGACGTAGTAAAAAGAATTCGGAAGGGCCAATCGGCATTCCTGGCAAGTGAAAAGAGCAAGTCCACAAACTCCCGACACATTTCCCGTGCGCCTCCTTCGAGAAGGTTGATCCCGGAGATGATGCAGTAGCGCAGGGTAGGCGTATTTTCCAGCAGGTGTTTAAGTAGCATTAAACCCGTTGTCCAGCGCTCCCCTGGCTGCGTGAGTCGATCGAGCATCTCCGGCTGTAGGCATACCCTGTCATCAGGCGGTTGGAATTGCAGAAGCTGACAGATCAAACTATAAACCATCGCCATCATGCCAGCTTTGTCTTCGACGTTGTGCATCTCAGGGATAGTGCCGTACTGGGGTCGTTGACAGATGTACGAGAGAAACTGAGCTCGGGCTCGGATTGCCGTCCAAATAACCCCGAGAGCGGCGAGCTGGGCGCTAGTTCGTGGGCCTGTTTCGAAAGGGCTGACAATCCAAAGTTTGAGAGCATTGCCCGACGTAGCCTGTGCCCAGTTTCCGAGGGGCTGCACAATAGTAGGCTCAGCGACAAGCCGTCCCGTTTGAAGGGCGAGTCTGATTCCATCAGAGCCTCCTATGCGATCAATGTGTGGTTGAAGACGTTGGCAGACCCAGTTGGCCTCGGATCTGCTGAGGCCCCGAGGAATATCAACAATTTCTGCAACCTCTCTTTCGTCTATTGAATTAATCCCTCCTTCTATTGTTCCCCCGGTCTCGTGCTGAGCTTGTAGCTGCATAAATTCGAACCGTTCTTCCCACAGATTCACTAGAAATATTCCTCTGTCAGCGAGGCATTGAGATGGCGCTCAAGCATAGAGAGACGCCACATACTGCGTTCAGTCATCTGTAGCATCAAGGCTGTCATTGTTCCCCCGGCCTCATTTTTCTCTTTTCGAATTTCCTTCACCCATGCAAAGAGCCTCTTTTCAAAGGAGGTGAATGACTGATCAAGCCTATTTAGCTGCCATGCATTCTCGACCAAGGCCTGCTCACGGATGAGTTGAATGGACCGTTTGATCGTTTCTGTCGTGTCCTCGTAGTCCGTCGTAAAATTTGAGTTGAACGAATCGAGCCATTTTGCAGGTTTGGGCTTCAAATACCAAGTGGCTACCTTGATGAAAAATTGGAAGTACTGCGTATAGATATCGGACAGTCGTGCTTGCATGGCCGGGTTGGAATAAAGGTCGAGCCACTGTGTACAAAGAGCGATGCTTTCTGACAGCTCCGCTACGTAGCCCGACAGCCGTTCCGCAATAGTCGAGTAATTGACCGAAGCCTGTTCAATTACCGGTGAGATCAAAAGTCTTGTCAATGACCCGCTGAGAGTCTCACCTGGATGACCATCGTGATGGCACCACACAGAGCGGATGTGTAGGAGGTTTGACTTGGGAAGCACTGAAAGATTTGTTTATGTGCGTCGAACCTTTGGCATATCTTCACGAAGTTCGTCGCCGCCTAATACATTTCAGCTGATTGAGACATTTGCCATCGCCGTACCATATTGACCTTGCTGTTTGACTCTGTCCATTGAGCCTCCACCTCATTGATGATAGAAGTGACTTGGTTCACCGTGAGTTCTCCGCGTTGGCGGATATGATGAGCCAGTTTCTGCTCGGTCGCGTTTCGATGCAACAGTCGGGAGAGTCCTGATTTGCTCTTGTCGGCCTCTGCCTTTGCATCCACAGACTTGAAGAATTCATCGCATTTGGATTGAAGCGTTTGACGCGCTAGTTCAAGCCCTTTCAAAGAACTGGGTATGATGAGCCCTTTGTACTCCAATTCAATATTTCTTCACGGTGCAATTACCTCTCTACTGGCAGTTGACCATGATAAATGCGATCCATCCGCAGTTTCTCTTGCGCATTAATCTCTGTGTCCAAATCCTCTTGGTATAACTTGACCTGAGAGGCTAAATCTGAATCGTCTTTGAGCTCAGAAGTGAACCGACGCACCAAGTCAGGCCGTGAGAATTCTTGTGTTGTACTCATAGCGCTTATCTGTGCCAACGACAGAAACCCAGTGCCAGCTTCTGCCTCCATAGGCCTGAGAATCGGGAAAAGCTTCGGCAGCCTCTAACTATTTATTGCACTAGGTCAGGTATATTTCTCCGAAAGTGGCTCCAGCTGATATACAATTCGACCTAGTTTGGCTAGTATGACATCTGATTCGACATTGGGGTTGGGCTGACGTGCATCTGCAGTAAGCAAAAAGGGGGCCAATAATGTGTTTCTCTGCTGGTTTGGACATATATTAAAACTATCCGCGATACGAAGTTATCCACCTCGAGCGGCATTCTATGCCTGAACGGGGTTTGGCCCCCGGACGTGCGCCTTGTGTCGTCGGCTTAAATACTCCGATACAAGCCATGCCTGCAGAGAAGGCATGGAAAAAGATCTTGAAAATTTTGATCTTTAAGCCCTCAGCACCTGTTTCTGTGTCTGTTTTTGTTATCCCATTCTCCGGCAATTTGTGTGCGCAATGGAAGTCCTCACAGAGCCGAAAACTCACCCTTCTGAACTCAACGCTGAAGTGCAGTCTACAATAGCAGACCGTACACTTGCCAATCTAGAGAAGAGTAAGATTGAGTATAGTAGAGCACTGCTGAGCTTTATTGGCTAACTAGACAACTTGGAAGTAACCCAGAGCGTTACAGATGCAGATAATGCACCGGAAACTTCGAGTGAGACAGTGACTCCCGACGCAAGAGAGACCCCAAGCCTCAAAGGTACCACTGAAACCAAGGCAGAAGTGACTGGGGCTGATGAGAGTGGGAAAAACGAGGCCTGCCGCAGAAACACTGAAGTCGATGGAAGTATTGCCATAGCGACCCCGGAAAGCACGAAGGACCAAGGGAACATTGTTTTCGTTGATCCTTTTGGCACACGCTGGACCTTTCCATACGAGGATTCAAAAACTTGGGAGGTGGGAAATGCTGGATTTCGCTCTTCCGTTCATCTCCGCTGAATCTTTGCAGGGGACCAAGAAACTGGTCAAAGCAGTCTTTGACACATATTCCACTGAATGGCTCGCAGACTATCTCGATGAAGATGACGGTCTTGGTGGAACATTATCCATCACCAAAATCAAACCTGAACATTCAAATGTCCTGCCCAGTCACTGGGAAAGCTTGGTCTCACATGGATGGGAATTCAAGCTTGAATTCAGATTTGATGTGCTCTCCTTGATCCGCAAAGAGAAGAAGCTCACCGAGGAAGAAGCTGCCGAAAAGGCCAATAAAGAGGCCAAAGAGACAGACGCGGAAGTCGAAGAATTGAGTCAGGTGGCGTATGTTGCAACTTATTTGGCCCCGGACAGCGATGGTGATTACCAGCGTCGTAATACTAAGCGACTTAACGACAAGACAATTTTCACCAAGGTTTCCGACGTCCAAATTCCCAAATCGGTGCTCGAGGAGCATAGGGAAGTCTACTGTAGCAATAAATATGCCACTGACCCTGAAGACAACATGTTCGATACAATCAGCAGTCCAGTACTCTATATTCACTCGCCAATCCTTCTCAATGCTCTCAATGCTATCATTGACTGCCAATCACGTCCAGACAGGATTCCTCGGGTTGAATATCGTGTCGAAGGAATTGAAAGTGATCTTGGACAGGGGCGGCTAGTGTACCCTTTCACTGATCTTCATCATTATCGAGGGAGATTGCTCCAGTATCGGGAGGAAGTGGGCGACACTCATGACAGCGAGTACAGCACAACGTGTCAAGAGCATATTGACATTCTGGTTGAATATCTGGATGGTCTCACGTCGATTGGACTGAGAAATGCCGAGCTTCTCTGGAACAGCGAAATTCCAAAGACGACTTTCTCCTCTCTCTGGCTCCTACTAAAACCTGGGACAGACGTTTTTGTTCAGGAGCAAGGTAAGCTGAATGCGTATGTCATCGAATCATTTTCGGGAGGTGTTCCATGGGGTTTCCCGAATGCTCGGTCACGGCCATATGTGGTGAATGTTTGGAATCTCGACTATGATGGGCAAGTGCTGAGCCGTTCCGCTAAGGAAGTCAATATTTCTGTTTTTGACGGCCAGCGTGAGATTACCTCGCTACCTCTGTTTCCAATCAAATTTTATGTGGATGAGGATCCCCAGAATCCTCTACGGCAGCAGTTGGTGGACCGAGGGAAAAGGTTCGTGAAAATGGTGAAGACACCTACGTTTCAGGAATACAGCGGCCCAAGTAGACTGCAAGGTAACCGCACGGTGAGTTAAGCATTCGATAGATTGGTCCTTATAATTTGGTTCCCAGGTGTTCTGCGAATCTCACACACACATAGTTTAACCGAACGCGAGTCGTCGTGGACCACACAAGTCAACCATGGAAACTGGACGAAATTGCCAGTGAAAAGCACGCGCATTGTCCTATTGCAGAGCTATACAATGTCGAGTTAGGCCAGCGGACGAGGGAGCCAAGATGTGTATGCAAAACATGCGAAGCCAACAGTCTGCGCCAACACGGCACCCAACGCCGCATTTTCGATGACTACGACAATATTGATCTGAGTTCAGTTCTTACCCTGACTGACCACCAATATCTACTATGTTGGTCGCATGTATATGCATACGTGTTAAAAGACCGCGTTTGGGGTATGGACCTACACGCTTCTTTTGGTTGGAGCGCCGCTGATTACGAGAAATAGATGTGCTAGAGGTATCCAATCTGAGGGAGCCAACAATCCATAAAGATATCATCGACACGCTTGTACTAAAGCCAGAGAGCAACAAGCAAATGATCAAGGCTGTCTGCGAGATATTTGGTGGAACGTACAAACAGGCTTTCTCTTCGGACTTCATTCAAGGCAAAGGAGAAGGGCAGATCTTGCTACTTCATGGTCCTCCGGGAACAGGAAAGACTCTCACAGCTGGTAAAAAACAGCCCCACACAACGCGGAATCCTGAAATGACCGGTTACTAATTATTATAATACCAGAGTCTGTGGCAGAGTATACCGGTCGACCTCTTCTGAGCATCACTGCGGCTGATTTAGGCCATGAACCAGTGCCACTCGAAAAGAATCTGCTGCGCTTTTTCAGAGACGCAAGACATTGGAACGCAATCGTTCTTCTCGATGAAGCGGATGTTTATCTCGAAACTCGGTCTGCCCAGGATCTTCGACGGAATAGCATTGTTTCTAGTAAGTATCCATGGTACACTAGTCTGGACAGCAGCTAAGCAAGAGTAACTTCTTTCAGTTTTCCTGCGAGCGCTAGACTACTTTCAAGGTATTCTTTTCCTGACTACCAATCGTGTGGGAAGTTTCGATGAAGCAGTCATGTCACGAATTCACGTACAAATCGGATATGACCCACTTGACGAGGACTCAAGAAGACAAATCTGGGACGGTTACTTCAAGAAGCTCTCCAAAAATCACAAAAATGATGGCCAGGAGATCCGTTGCTCATACGACGCCAAAGAATTTATCCGGAAATCGGACGATCTCCGGGCCCTCAAATGGAACGGCCGTGAGATACGAAACGGTAAGTTGTACACACTCATCTCATATTTTGACTTTTGATTCTTACACTCTCCAAGCATTCCAAACTGCTGTGGCTCTTGCATGCTTTCAGGCAAAGCAGGAAGGGAGCGCCATTCCTGAGTTGACAGATGACCATCTTCGTCAAGTCGTGAACATGTCCCAGAATTTCAAGAGCTACGTGAGAGCAGTTCGTGGGAAGGAGGAGGATTACGCTTATGCTGCAGGAGTCAGAAACGACACCACAAGGTCTTCTGGGAGGAGTGATGAACGACTGAAAGGCGTGGATATTCCTAACTTCTGATTCACACTTAGGGGGACTTGATTAAGCAACGGCGCGAGCATCCATGTACTGTCTGTCTACCAAGGTCATTTATGGGAGACTCCGAGATATTAGAAGGCGGAACGTCTCGTAAATATGTATTTCTCCCATTGTCGCCATGAGGAAAAAAACGAGTGCCAAGGTTGCTTAGCCCAGCCTTTCTCGTTTACTGAGTCATTGATGCTTTAGCGTGGGGGCTAATTAAGACCTTTTGAAAAAGACCTAGGACGCAGATCATGGAACTTCTAGACCAAAATCTCTCAGAAAGGAATTTGGACATGGCATCTTTCTTGGATTTACCCACCGAGCTGCGGCAGATAATTATCCGACACGCTCTCTCCAGTCGACGAAAAGCACCAACTCCCTCAAAATCAAAAGGGGCTCCAGTCGAAGATTTCGAACCCGTAGCTGAGAGATGGCAGTTAGGGGGATGTCGTGTCTATTATGAACAAGACGAACAGGTTCCAACTTGTCTACCACTCCTCTTGGTAAATCGGCAAATCTCCACCGAAACCAAAGGTGTTCTCAATTCGATGAAGATCGATTATGCTGTCGAACTATCCATTCTGAACGATTTGGATATCTTCCCAACTTGGATCTCAATTCCCTGCCTCACACAAAATATCAATCATTTGCGCGCAGAGGTCCGCCTTTTTGGACATGTCCTCCCTACGACAGTAGGCCGTCAACAAGGAGGAGATGGCGGGCGCTTGGGAATTCACTTTGCTTTTCACCAAGTCTTACAAAGATTCCTAATGTACGGTCCCGTTGGCGAAAGAAAGGAAAAGGGACAAATTAACGGATATGAAAACAAAAAGATCTCAGTCCGGGTGCTCGACTTGGATGTCACCTCTGCCGAGAACGAACTTCCATTCCCACCGGATGAATTTCAATGGAGCGACTATCTTCACCAGCTTCGTGGCCACGGCAAACTTGAAGATTGTGAGTCTAGGAGAGTGGACGACCATACGTGGGCCAAGTGGAATTTTCAGCCGAAATACAAAACCCGGCCCGAGTGGATGTCTCGTTGGATTCGTGATTGGATTGAACGGATTCTAGGGAGAGATTCTTATGGAAAAGTTTACGGAAAGATGATATATGAGAATGTGGGAACACTGAGGGTCTTGGCTGATGGAAAGCTACTGAAGGAATTTGACCTTTCAGACTGTCCTGAAGACGCGGTAGCTAGGAGAGAAGAGTTGGGATTTCCATTGAGATTCCCAAAGAGCAATTAATCAGAATCGGAGTAGCAATGTGAATGTACTAGAGCCATAGCACATTTAACGATTGGAAATCCCACTATCCATCCTGTTTAGCGCTCCGCAAAGCCCACAAAGCCGACGAATGGGCTGTGGGTTGGGTTTGACTTTGGGTCTGGGGTCCGGGTTTATTCGTGGGCTTTGCGGAGCGCTAGAGGATTGCAGGGTTTTTGTTGGATAGTTTTAAGATGGTTTTAGATATGCTTGACCTACAAACATCATGATAGCAAAGGGACAATTCTTGCGTTCACTGCTAGGAAACAGACACCGGATAATTTTGATATCGGATAATTTCACTCAATCAAAATTACAGCTCTTGCATCTCCCAGACTCCAGCTCCAATTTTCGCAAGCTCCGATTTTTGTAATCGGATATCAATCTCTCGAGGAATGGAAGGAGGTCGTCGGAAGAGCAGATTGAATGGGATGACCAGGGCTTGCTTTGAAACGGTGATATTGTCGCCAGTTTTCTCGATTACACAGGATTGTGTGACATGCGGCCGTTGGGAATTGGAATCCCATTCCCACGTCTGGATTGTGATCATGGGCTTCCGGCGGTTGATTTTGATGGTGATGGCCATGTTTGCTTCCCCCCTGGTAGGATCTACCCACATCCTTGCGTCATTGCGCAATTTCGTTTCAGGTTCTGAAAGACCAGCTTCCAGGACTACCGAGGGCCGGTTCGTGACACCAGGACGTCGCGCAGGACCCCAGCCCCAATCCGGCTGTTTTGTGTTTCCGCCGCCAACATTGATGTCTGCTCCTCCATACCTGAAGATTGCTGTCGTTTCGAAGCCCATGGACTTCAAAGCTCGCATTACTGCATCGTGAAAGTGCCCAGTAATCTCAGAATGCTCGGGCAAAGTCATTCTCAAAATCAAAATGTGAAGCGTCGGGTTATAGAACTGACGGACGCCAACGTTTAGCTTGAGAGAGAAGTCTTTCCTGAACGAGGGGGATCGATGTTTATAACAAAGTATTCTGATATGTCAAGAGATTTATCCAATGGTTCAGACTGGAGATGGCGTAACGATTGTTCTAGGCGGCGATGTTCAAGTCTTGCAATTTCTTCAAACTGCTTCTTCCCTTCGTAGGTATATGTTTTTGTGGACAGAGGTAGGCCACCCAGGAAGTCTTCCACGTCCCTTCCATCATTGACGAGCTTGGACCCAGTCATTGCTTCGAGGTATCCTTGCTTTCCTACTATGATAAGAGTCTCCAGGAAGGAACAGACGACGGTAGATGTGAAAAAGAGCTCGGGGGCCTATGAAGGGAGCTACTCAGAAAATAGCGCAAGTGGTTGTTACCTCATAATGTGTAAATGATGTATGTATACGCACCGGACTTTCCCGCCTTCCTATTCGGGCTAACGCTTTTTAACGATGCTCAGGTTCAAACAGACCACAACGTAAGAGCATTGACCTGAAATTATAATGTTTACGTAGGCTCGGTATCTGATTAATTGGAAGAAAGAGATGAAGTGGGATATACATTGAAGATATGTTCAATTGCCAGTACGCAAGGACTTGGTAGAATACTATATTAAATAGTTCAAGCAACGAAGGTAAACCCATCTGATGGGCACAGCCTAGCAGAACAGAGACATGTAAGATCAGACATGTAAGGGGCAATGGGCACAACTTAGCAAGAAATGCCAATCCAATCTTTGGTCAGAGCAACGAACTGCAGATCGTTGTTCGCAGCCTCGAAGAACAGTCCAAATTTACCATCACCGATAGCAGTGATTGTGGAGTACGACGTGGCAGCGGATCTGAATACTTTGCCAGACGACCAAGTATTTCCATCATCACAAGAGTAACGAATGGTTCCATTCACGCGAGAGGTCTTGCTGTTGGCGTTGGTGAAAAGCAGGACCTTAGCCTCGGCAGAGCCCTCGGCAGCATCGGGATAGACCCGAGTAATAGCACCATTATTCGCAGGATCTGGGAGCTGAGTCTCGCTGCGGGGGGTCCCGTAAGTCTCGCCACCATCATTAGAGAGCGCAATGATTCGGTGTTGACTTCCATCACCGGGGCGCGAGTTCAGCAGCAAGGTACCGTTCGACAGCTCAACAACCTTATTTTCATCCATGCCATTACCAATAGGCTTACCCATCTGCCACGTATCACCTCCATTATCGCTGTAGACGCTGTAGGCTTGGTTGACAATCGAACCATCGGATTGAACGACACTTCCTGTAAATTGCTGTACCAGGCGCCCAGCCTTAGATCCATACCGGAGCTGGATCCCTTCCCCAGATGCGGCAAACATAGCTTTAACACCGCCCACATTGGCGACTCCATTCACGGTACTACCGATAGGCTTAACTGCCTTGGTGAGGAGTGGTGGGGCACCAACGGTGCTAGCGGCAACCGGGGGAAGATTAGGCTGATTTGAAGGATCCGTAGACCAGCTAAGTCCCTTATCGGTTGAGACCGAGACCTCAGAACTGATAACATTGCGATTGGTGTCATCATTGCCAAGGACCCCACCGCGGAAGCCCTGGTCTTTTGAAAACACGTGGAAGTTGAACACCTTTCCAGTCTTCTGGTCGTAGACATAGCTCGGGTCGCTAAAGCCGTACTGGAGAGCCGTGGAACTCTTGATTTGGCCTTGGGCAATGTAGGTGGGCTCGCTCCAGGTCGCGCCATTGTCTGTACTGCGGCGCTGCAGGATTGAGTTTGGAGATGGGGAGTCTCCACCATCGGGGCGGCCATCGTAGGCTGCGAGAATGACGTTGTCGCCTAGATAGGTCAAGGCAACAATTCGATACTGGGCAAAAGGTCCCACGCCCTTGGTGGCGAGGTTAACCTCCGGCACTGCTGCTCTCGCTTGCAATTCCACCGGGCTTGCGACAGACAGAACCGTACACAGGCCAAGAGCCCCCAAGAAGGAGGCGTGCTTCATTTTGTTGAACATGTGAGACTGCTGCAACTGCAAATGTAGACAGGTGGGGAATCAGAGTGGAGGTTTGAAGATACGTCCTGAAGATCAAGATCGCGATGAAGAATGATTTTTCTCTCTTGATAGGAACTACACACAGACTTATATACATCACAAGGTTACATGGAACTTTCGTGCAAGTAGCAAGCATAGGAATCACACAGTATCTGAGCTAATTGGATATACATCATGTCATTCCAAAAACAGAGAAGCTGCATCTCGATCGAGCAGAGTCTATTGAGATGTTCCGCGAAACAGAGAGGTCGAAGACTCCCTAGCATGATAAGCGCATTGATTTGATAGGGCCCATTTCGTATCTCGTGCAGAGGCCATATGAAGCTTGGAAATTCAATCAGATTAGCTTTACCCCGGAATCCTGAACGTTCGCTTATCCCCATATCCACAGATAATCAAAGCAGCCTCTGGTCTCCATTGACGAATACGTCGGATCGAGGCATGCACCCCTTGGTTTCCCGAGCCGATCGCCTCGGCAGAGTAGATCCGATCGGCTGAGGACCAGTGGCAATGGGTTTACAGCCTTTCACACAAGTTAATCAGCAGATGTTTTGAATTAGCGAAAGCTTCACGAACTCAATTTATGGCTGGAGGTTTACGGTTTGTCTTGACGTCTGTCAGGAGCGTTTTTGGACGTCTCTGTCTTTCCCACATTGGCTATGACTTTTTCTGAACATGAAGAGTTACGTACAATTTACTCCCCTGGGGGATATGTAGACATGAGGACTTGTAAAATACCACATACTCCCAGTATCTGCCCCTGGTGGGTGGTATGAGGTTCGACCTGTCTCGCGATTAGATACACCTGAAAATGGCTTGGCCCTATAGCTTAAAGAGACAAATCAACGTAACACAGCCTGGTTGCACTTACAGGCCTGATCTTGAATGCTAATCTTTTGTATCTCCGCACGGAAATAGTGAAACTGATTGGTTGCGTGGATACTAATCGTGTTGATCTTCCAACCGTAAGTAGCATTCTCCTAACCGATAGGCTATACCAAAGCGTGGGAATTAATTGAAATCAAAAAAGAACTCTACGGTCCAATGAAACAGGTCTGTACTCTATCAGGCAACGGTCCAAAGGAAGTTCCGATGCTCGCTTCACGGGACCCCGGACCAGCTTGGATGGAGAACTAGCGCTATGTCCCAATCCGGGGAGTTTAAACTTGGCTAAGCGGCCTACGCGGAAATCAAGGCAACAGATTGGCCGTTTAATTAAATGGACCCAAATATTATCGAGATGTTATCAGGGGCGCTGTGTTATCGGGAGAGGAGTAATTTGTGGGAATATAAGATCCGGGGCATTTCCTTGACAGAGCATCCAACCATCCTACCATACCTCTCTCTTCCAACGTTCTTGCATTCGCAACCAAGTCGCAGGGGGGCGATAGACACTTGATATGGCCGACCAGAATATCAAACCCTTTGGCGAAATGGATTCTCCCAAGGTAGAGATTGATGCATCATCGGCAAAGGAGGTCGTGGAAGGTGTGGTGATCACGGTCACCCAAGAAGAGGTACATTCCACCTGAACACTTCCTAACAGAAGAACATCGCTCATCATGAGACCATGGTTTATAGAATGATCGAATCAAGAAAAAGACTGATCGAGTCATCCTCCTCATCCTCATCTGGGTGTACTTCCTACAGGTAAGACACACCCAGTGATACCCAAGATGTCACAGTTGATTCTCATTGACTGTCTATTAGATTTTGGACAAAGGTGTTTTGGGAACGGCGGCACTGTTCAACCTTCAGTCTGATATGGGTCTCGTGGGGAACCAGTATTCCCTCATTGGAACGATTGCTCCCGCCGCGCAACTAGCGTGGCAGCCATTTTCCGCGTGGATCCTGGTTAATGTCCCCCCCCGTATTCTTATGCCAACTATGATTCTCGGATGGGGTATCGCGGTGGCATGTATGGCTGCTTGCAATACTTTCTCAACCTTCATCGCCGCTCGCTTTTTCATGGGTCTATTCGAGGCCGGATGTATGCCTCTCTTCACCATTCTCACCGGTAGATGGTATCGCCGGATTGAACAGCCAATTCGTATCGCTCTTTGGTACTCTGGCAATGGCACAGGTACTATGGTGGCTGCTTCGTTGGCTTATGGCCTTGGCCATATTAAGTCTGATGTGTTGAAGCCGTGGCAGATGCAAGTTACCCAAGATCGTTTTACTGATAAAACACCACTAACTATTTTATAGTATCTTCCTGTTTGTTGGTCTTATCACTATCGTCACCGCGCCATTCATCTACTGGAAGCTTGACAATGATGTTACTACGGCCCGTTTCCTTACCGAAAACGAGCGACACCAGGCCGTGGAGCGCCTCCGTGCCAACCAGAATAGTTCAACATCCTACGAGTTCAAGTGGAAGCAGGCTCTTGAGGTCTTCTTGGAACCCAAGAGCTGGCTTTTCGTTACGATGGCCCTGCTCCCAAACATGGGTTCGGCCTTGCCTAGTCTCTTTGGTCCTCTTATCGTGACTGGTTTCGGATTCGACAAGTTCCAAGCTGCTCTATTAAACATTCCTTATGGAGCTATTACCACAATTGTGATTATCCTGAGCTGCTGGGCTTCTCACAAAGCGAAGCTCAAGTCTGCCGTTTTGGCTGCTTTCATGCTTCCTGTGGTGGTGGGAATCGCCCTTCTTTACGCACTTCCCCATGGCGTGAAGAAAAACCAGGGACCGCTACTCTTTGCCTACTACTTGACTTCTTTTATCTATGCCGCCAATCCCATTCTTCTGTCTTGGGTGGTTGGAAACACGGCCGGTGCTGCCAAGGTGTCCAGCATGGTTGCACTTTACCAGGCTGGTACTTCCGCGGGTGCCCTCTCGGGTCCCCTCCTGTTCACCGCTGATCAGGCTCCCAATTATCTTCCCGGTACGCGTGCTGTGCTCGGCCTCTTCGTTGCCTTGCTTGGCTGCGTGGGTATTCAATTCCTGAACCTTTGGTTCTTGAACAAGCAGCACAAGAAGCACAGAATCGCCAATGGTAAAGCTGGTGATATCAAGGATACCTCTATGACCGCCGAGGTTGGAGTCGATAGTAATGTTCAGGGGGCACAAGTTGAAGACATGCCCTTTAAGGATATCACGGACAAGGAAAACGATGAGTTTGTGTATATTTATTGATTGGAAGAGTTCTGGAACTCCCAATTTGGGAAGTGAGCCATTGGCGTATCTGAGATAGCCCAATTTCTTCTATAATTGCTATTATATTTCGAGATAAAGAAATTTGGATCATTGATCTGGCAAATGTACTTTCTATATTCCTCGAGCACCAGTCAGGCCTTATCACTCCAACCAACTAGAACCAGTTTCCTGATTTTCAACGTCAGCACTACGTATATCAAGGGCAACACTTCTACCACAGGCTTTATTCTTAGGATGTCTAGAGTCTGAGTATTCGAAACATCACTCTGTCGGTATATTCGTTATAATACAAGTCTTACTGTTTTCTGTCCGACCACCACTAGTCCTAAGCCTCAAGGACCAGAAAGTATCATGACTAAGCCTACAGGCTGGAGGCCGCCATATCCCTGCGTACCTCGTCTACACACCCTGTATACACCCTACGCGTGGTAAGAAATCAAATCGCTTCACAACAACCTTGTACTCTTGGCTCTTGGTTTGAGTATGGACTACGATGACCCCTTTCCTCGGCCATTTCGGTCGGTGATAGTCAAAAAAGTCAAAAAAGCACGAGACAGTGACCAGCAAAGACAAAGGTATGTGTGTATCTGCTACTCATTTCAGTGTGTACGCACTTGAGATTACTGATTAAATCATTTACGTTGAAAGTGTGCTATGGCCTCAGAATGAAACCTTGTCCCCGGAACGCGCAACTCCAGGGGATCAAAATGCATCGTCCTCTCACACACATGGGTCTGCTACCACTTGGCCAAATTTTATGAGCCTCTCCTCAGTGGGGTCGGAATCAAATCAAGGTCAGTTCGACTTGAGCGATTCTTCATTGTTGAAACAAATTGCTGCAATCTCGTCGACAATGATTAACTGACAAAGATACCAGAACTCTCTGTGATCGCCCAGGTCGGCGAAGAGGACAAAATCCCTATGCCGATCCCAGCACTTGGCATGATCTCACAGACAGCAGGGCTGCCTTCGGATACATCGCCTGGAAACATAAGCAACCTCGGCCATTACCAACAGAGTTCTATTGCACCTGGAACTAGTACGCTTGATGCCTCTATCTTTACGGAAAATTCTACTATATTAACTCAAAATTTTGAAGGGCAAGCAGAATCTACAAATGATACCAGCCCTACTTGTGCACAGATATCAAGTAACGAGCACCCCGGCGACAAAAAACGGATTTTCTGTTGCACATTTTGCTCTCACAAGTTTAAAAACAAATATGATTGGGCCCGTCATGAGAAATCACTCCATCTCGACCTCGAGGCTTGGACTTGTGCTCCCCAAAGTGGCATCATGAATGACCCGGTCACGGGGCATGAGATTTGCGCGTATTGCCTCAACCCAGAACCCACGCCAGGACATCTTGAGGTGCACAACCACAGTGCCTGCGTCGGGGTGATGCGTACATTTAATCGCAAGGACCATCTAGTACAACACCTTCGGCTGATTCATCATTTGACAAAAGTTCCATCTCTTCATAGCTGGCGAGGCCAAGCTCCTCCTTTCGTATGCCGTTGTGGCTTTTGTGATCAGCGACTGACTAGTTGGGCAGAGCGGACTGATCATCTGGCAGGGCATTTTCGTAAAGGTACCACAATGCGTGACTGGCAGGGTGAGCATGGATTCACCGCAGAAATCACGGCGCAGGTCAGAAACTCAATCCCACCATACTTGATTGTAGATCAACCGTGATGGCCGCTCTAGCTTTGATGGGCTTTGGGTGAACAAGGGAAAAATACAGCGATCGAAACTGCTTTTGTTTCTCTCATAGTAAGTGGAGCGGCCACATATACACTTCACACCAGAATAAGTAATGGCAGAGAAGATTGCTATGGACTATGAAGACCAAGCCGATATCCAAATTGACTAGAAGCTTTTAATCACACGAAGCAGTATTATAAAGCAGAAAGATCTCATCAATATAGATAGCTAGGGCAACTCTTCAGGGCGCATCGGCAATGTGGGTCTCCAACTACCATAAGCTTCCAGTTGACCCGACTCCGACGTCCCTCGTTGCCAATCTTAAATCCCGATCCGGGATTTGGTTTCGTTCGGAGAAATTTTCTTCTAGAGCATTTTACTTCACTGCCCATGCTTGATGATTAGGAAAGTGTGAACCCCACATGGATTTCCAATGGGAGGGTGATGGCAAATGAAAGCCTCGGAGACTTTCTGTTCGATTAATACTTGTCATTCGTCTTTCCAACTATATATAACATTGAAATGCATCTATCCTCATGAGATATCTTACTTTCTAAACTCCACTACAATACCTTTTTTTCAACAATGTCTAGGTAGGTGCTACACTTTTGAATCGAGTTATATGGAGGTATTGACCTTCACAGTCCCCAAGAAAGATACCTTGCCGCTATTGAGGCCAACCGGAAAGTTAATCCGCAGACGATGGACGATCTCTTCAAACAACTCCCTCCGGCTAAGCCCGAGCAGCTGCTTGGTGACTGGAACGGGGGGTATTTTGATACAGGACATCCAGTTGCCACGCAGTTAGCGGATATCAAATGGGTCGGAAAGTCATTCAGGACCCTTGAAGATGTCGATCCTGTGATTATCGACCAGGGAGGAAAGCGAGTTAGCTGGGGGCAATGGGGATTTGCCAGTGTAGGTCTCCCTTGATGCCACACCTTTTTGTTTTCTTTTGTTTCTGTTTTCGGTTTTAGCTCAAACTAAGTGATCTCGTATAGGTGCGTGAAATGGTGTACGGCGGAACAGCTTCTGCAGCGATGATCTATGACGACCGACCTATCTTTGACCATTTCCGTTATGTCAATGACAACCTTCTCGCCGGCGTGATGGAGGGTAAAGGCTTGGGGCATGATGGCCCATTCTGCTTTTATTTAAAGAGATAGAGTTCTTAAATTCAATGGTTACCTATAATCCAACTTCACATTCTCAGTTGCAAGTAAATTTCAGTAGGCAATTGTACTCGAAACGGAAGATGGCTTATATGTAAAGGCGAAGGTAAAATTGTATTGATGCGACTTGAGATCGGCTCGGCAGGTAGATTCATGCGTGAGATTTAACGTATTCTAGAACTTCACGAATGCCATGAATCTAGGGCAGACCCCGAATTAGCACTCGTGCAGCTTTGAAAACCATAGAACTAATCCCAGCCATCCAAAGCTGCCTTCTGATTGTTCGAAATGCTCGAAACTCGCCGCTGTGGGTCAGGTCAACGCCGACATTCAGGCCGTGTGGGAAGATGACCTTGGCAGCGATGATGTAGGTCAAATCCTCGAGCAGCCAGATGCTGGACACAGGATGGAAGTAGAGTTGTTCACGCGTCTGGGAGAACGAGTGGCCTAGACAGACAAACCAGGCCACCAACGGTCTGGATCAAATACATCGCACTAGAATCCTATCTAACAATCACAGTATAGTACCGATTTGATTCTCCATTGTCGTAAGCGCCATGTTTTGCTATATATCTTCATCGCAATACTCTATTGCCCCTTAAAATAGAATCGAGTACCCGATATCTCGAGTTTGCATCCATGTAGCCGAGCGGCAACGCGGGTCTTATTACTATCAAAAATTTCCTGAACCTGTCTCGGTAACAAGACACCTTTGGTGACAGGGGTCAGCACTACATAGATCGAGGCGGATTACCGCACAAAAAGCTGGCGAAGATCGAATAAATAGATGTTGCGCGCGATCAACGAAGTCTCCTGGCAGCTTTCCAGATCCGGGGACCGGTCAGTGACATAGTCCTCGTGGAATCTTGCAGACATCACAAAAGAAAGAGAGAAAGTGCCGGTTCAAAGGGTATCTTCCTTTCCGGCTTGATTACCGAGTTGCCATATCTATATGGTCGCGGCTTGTTTGCGAATTGAAGAATGAGTGAACTGGTCATCGGCGGTGTGGATCGAAATATTTCCATCTATAGCCGATCTCAGGGGATCAGGCTTTGTGGTGATGATAGCCAAATCGATAGCCGGAGAGGCATTGGTATCTCCGCGACTGCTCCCTTCACTCGGTACAAGATCATGAAGGACACAACAACGGCATCGACGCATTCGCCAATTTGTAAGAACAATGGTGGTAGAATAGACAATAGCTGTAGCTATAACACCGAGACCATAGTATAGAAAAGGGAGGTACTTGTCTTCCATTTTGATGTCAGATTCTGGAGATGGGAGAAAGCTGTTGTTAAATTCTCTGCCCGTCAATATATAGTCATACACCCAATGACGATTTATAGACGTAAGATGACAAGTGTAGACGACTGCTTCTGCGGCCCTATGATGTCTTTCTTCTAGGGCTTTTTAGTGGTTTTTTTAGTGGTCTTTTCAGCAGTCTTTTCAATAGCTTTTTCGGTGGGCTTCCCGGGGTTTCTTGATATCTTTACGGTAGTTTTCCCCTTTCCAGTGTATTCTAGACGGCGGAAAAAGGCGGAAAAAGCAGACTCTGTGCAAGCGACTTTTCTATGTATAACTTCTGATGACTGATGATGTTAGTCAACAACCCTGAATCAAAATTATCCGTAGAAAAGGTTACGCTCTTGGTGTTTTAAAAATGGGTAAAGAAGATACCTTGGTAAGATGCTGTGTTGACAGAGATATATCCCGGCTTCTCCGGTTCTTACTCTCTTGGTTGTCCCGGCTCTCTTCTTCTATAGCTCTCTGCACTCCGCATATCTTAATGTATTGATATTTTATGATACATTTCGATACCTCCTAAATATTTGTGTATATTATATATTCAAAAAGCGCCTTGTTTATCACATCCGTCCGATATGGTGTAGTGGCTAACATCGCCGTCTCTCACACGGCAGCCGGGGGTTCGATTCCCCCTATCGGAGTTTCTTTTTTCTTTTTGTTTCATTTCACATGAAATATTCTTATAAGTTCCAATAGATTCAGTCTACTTGCGGAGTGGATGTTGATGCGTAGATTGGGGCCAAAAGTTAGTTGAACCGTATAGCATTTCTGTTTACTTGAATATTATGTAGTAATAATGTCATTCATCATACTCGAAGTGGCCGCGGCACGTCAATCCTGGAAGGATCCATAGATTGACATAAGCTGCAGCAGGACGTGGGGTTGCTTTCAAGGTTGCCGTTGCGACACAAAGGAAATAATACAAAGGTAAGACTTATAGGAACCATCTTGACGATGACGTCCATTCTAGTGTCGGTGAAGCTTGCGGGATGGGATTACCGGAAGATAAATATAAAGTAATAGTATCGGAGGAATACCAAAGACATGAACACCTGTAGTCCCGAGTCCTACGTTACAGATAGAGGCGAATATATTTTTATTGGACAGACCGGCTCTGGGTGTGCAACTCCCGTGGAAGCTCTAATCTGCTTGACAAGACCCGAGGATTCAAATTGTTGTTTTGAATGGAAGAATTCACACTATATAAACCCTGACATTGAAATAAAAACAGGGATAGTCGTTTCCTCGGCTTGAATTTGACATCAGGATCAACCGTGGAGCATCAACGGTCAGATCAATAGGGATGAAGACTTCGGAATACTATTCAGATATTTGCTTCATACGTACGAGATGGATCTGGATAAGGACCAAAGCACAGCCATGGAAGTGCATTCGTACTGAAGCAAGGGAAAGCCCGCTGTATCAACATAGCCACTTCCCTGTGTCGAGGAATGGCTTGTTATATAAAGCTGCAGTGCGGACCATTTCCTTACTCAACTCTCATCTCATCTGACAAACAACAACTATAGCTTGATCTTTGACCGATTATCCAAACAACCATGAAGGCTTTTGTAGCAATCTCGAGCATTTTGGTCTTCGTCGGCCTTGCAATTTGCCAGACCCAGACCACATGCACTGCAGATGATGTTCTCAACTCGATCACTGCAGTTCAGCATTACGCGGAGAAGATGCAGTCTGTAACCGATTCTTCAAATGAGAACATCGATACTACCGGGGTGAGCCTGAACCTATGCATTAACTCCATGTATCCTACGGAAGGGCTCTGGGAAACTAATTATGCCTCTGGTCCAGGCCATCTACAAAAACTTCGAAGGTCAAACCAGACATTTCAATGAAGATCTGCAGTGTACTTTCAATACGACGGCGGAGGAACAGACGGCTATTTGCAGTGCTTATGAAAAAGTCAGTTCAACCCCGACCTTCTGTGGGGACCAAATGCCTAACATGGGTTCTCTTCTACCCAAACAGTTTGCAACGGCACAGCTAGGCTACCTCCATGTGGCCGATGGACGCGAGTTCTACGAGAAAAATGGACACGGAGAGAACGCTGTGAAAATGCATGGATATATCCTGCAAGCGCAATATGGCTTAGAGGTCATTTAAAACCACATCTTTTTCAGTCATGATCTAACAAGAGACACAGAACTATACAGCCGAAGTCAAAGAAGCGGCTTCATCGTGTGCGAACCGCATTGATACAGCTTACACACCGCTAGGTACACAGCTTCAGGCTCTGCTCGAGGCTTACCCTGGCACGGCTTAGCCGAATAGAAGAGCTGCCATATTTAGGCTGAGGGCTGTGATATCTTGCCCAAGAGGGGGAAGAAGTGGAAGAAACGTCTGATTTTTGATCAATCACTGTTCCGGAATGTCTTCGCTTGTGTCAATTGTTGAAGTTTCCGCTGATCTAGTCATATTATTTGGAGCCGATAATCTCGCAAATTAGCAATCGACTGAACCTTTTACTTGATTATGGTCGTACTGTCAATACAACAGCCTGGAGGTGTAGTCTAATGCTACTTCGAGCTCTGTAAATCAGTGCAGTGCTAAGAACACAGAATAAGAGAATCAAAATGTATAGAAGATAAACATTAAACCATGTTTCACGTATATATAGGGTATGGTACAGCAGGAATAACACATAAGGTATCATAAGGAAATTAACAAAATGCAGGACTAAAAGAACAACCACTGCCCAAACCGCTGAGCTTTACCCCAAACACCTGTCTTCTTCTCGGTCACCAGACCCTCAGCTCCATCCTCCTGAGAAGGATCATAGCGATCCGTTCTCAAATCCATATTAGACTTCCTCACAAATTTAGTTCTCTTGATTAGCTTCCAAGCCAAGAACATGAATATCATGATCGGAATCTCAATGTAGTACGAGACGAAATCGACCCTCTTGAAATGCGGACTGAAGCACTTCCATCCCTGAACAAGGACAAGAACAATATTAAGCCCAACAGCAAAGATCGGGCCATACGGATAAGTCCAATTCTTGAAAGGAAGAAGATGCTCAATACCCTGAGCCCGGATTGCCGAGCGGAATCGCAGAGAAGCAAGACAGATACAAATCCATGAGAGCTGGTTCGAGACGCCGACGATGTTCTGCAGCCAGGACCACAACTTTCCAGCGCCGATATAGCTGGCGCCGAAACAGAGACCGCTGATCACGGATGTTGCAAGGACAGCCACCCACGGCACGCGGAAACGGTTAAGATGGCCGAAGAATTTGGGCGCATACCCATCGACAGCGAGAGTAAACAGAAGGCGAGATCCGGCGAAGAGGGCATGGTTGGCAGCGGAGATGACAGAAGTCATGATAACGGCGTTGATAAAGCTGCCAGCAACTGCGGAACCGGCTTGCTGGAAGACGATTGTGAAAGGACTGGTCTTCGTATCGCCGTTTGAGAGGTCGGGGTAGTCATATGGTACATTCAGGCCGATAAGAAGGATTGAGAGGAGGTAGAAGAGAACAATACGCCAAAAGACATTGCGAACAACTTTCGGCATTGTTTTCGCGGGACTCTGGGTTTCGCCGGCTGTGATGGCGATGGATTCGGTGCCGCCGCTGTTTGATTGTTAGAACCAAGCTCAATTAATTGAAGCATTGATGAGATGGGTTAACATACTATGCGAAGGAGGCTGTGACGAAGACCGATGCAAAGCCGCCGATTCCACCGACGAAGGGTGCCTCGCCTTTGTTCCAATTTGTGCCGCCGATGTATTTGTGGTCGGTATTTCCGCCACAGTTGACAGCGATTCCGAGGATGATGAAGATCTGGAGAGGAAGTTAGCTGGGTGTGCGGGTGGTTTGATAAGCGGATCGCACTTACAATGATGGTGATGACTTTGAGTAAACTCAACCAGTATTCAATCTATAGATCAAAACGGTCAGATCAAGGGCAATCAAGTGGAAATCATCTACACATACCTCGCCATAAACTCTCACAGACATGACGTTTAAGGCAATGACAACAACCAAGAAGATGAGACTGATTGCCCAACCTGGAAAATTGTCTGTCCAATATTGCAACAAGAGCTGTAAAGCAATGATATCTGACGCCGTAGAGACGGCATCATTGAACCAATAATTCCATGTCAATGCGAATCCAAGCGCATCATCCACAAAGCGACTGTAAAATAAGTCAGTAACCATGTCAAACCAAAGTCAGGCCATACTCACCCAGCATAAGTACAGAAAGAACCGGCAACAGGCATAAAGGCAGCCATTTCACCGAGACACAGCATAGTGATAAAGACAATAGCACCACAGATCGCGTATGCAATCAGCATCGAAGCAGGCCCACCCTTGGAGAGGGACGATCCCGTTCCGAGGAACAGACCAGTACCGATGGTACCGCCAATGGCGATCATCTGGACCTGCCGCCCCGACAAGCGACGCGCTAGCTTGTCTGCGTTGACAATGGGGTTTGTTTGGAACTCATAGTCTGTAGTTGGAACCTTAGATGGCTCTGCTGCCGGGTATTTCTCGATGTCGGCCATTGTGTGGAGAGATATAATACAGAGGTATCCTTGACATTATATTAGAGCACTGTAACATGAATACATATCAAAAAAGGGTCTTGTCCCTTACCTGATGTTTCAGCCCTAAGTTGACCCACAACGTTGATAGCCTATCGGATACATCGACTGTTCACAGTCGAGATCAAGATGCCCAGGAATATGAAGGAAATGGAAAAAAAAGGGAAAAACGCGACATGTTGATGAACTGCCCCGATGGCGTGATTGAGGCCATCGATGAGTGGAGGCTGGACCGTCGAAAATGCGTGGGTGTGTCAAGGAAATCGTTGTCTCCACCACGTGCTGATTGGCCTCGGGGCAATTTGATAGGGGTTTAGCCTCTTGAATAGTCGATAGCTCATTTATAGGCACAAGGGCACGTTAACTAGCGGACTTGGAAGAGTTTATTTAGACGATATGATACGGCAATTATTCGCTGATGCTTTTTAAACCCTCCAGAGATTCTGGAGGTACATACGCCAAAGACCTTAACCCATAAAAACATGAAAATGTACATTAACCAAGCAATCCACTGGCCAAAGCCTCCAAATCTCCCAGAGTTTCGATAGACTTGGAAGCCTGGCTCTGCCTGCTCTTGGGCTCGTCGCTGTCCGGCTCGGCGAAAGAAACACGCTGCTTCTTGCTAGGCCGAGGTTCCTCGCGCTCCGAGACGTCTGAATCGGAGCCGGGAATCTCGAAAGGCACATGGGGGAGATGCGAGAAACCACCTTCTTCCTCCGACATCGCGGCCTCGGCCTCGGCACGCTCGCGCGCCTTGCGCTTCTCCTTCTTCTCGCGTCGCTTCTCGCGCATAACCTCCTTGTCCTCGATATCGGCTTGCTGTGTACGGGCAGTCTCGCTCTCGAGGAACTTCTCGCGCTGGGCATTGGCATCGCCGCGGGCGTTGAACATAGCTTCGTCTTCCATTTCGTACACCTCGTGGGCAACACCCTCCTCGTCGTAGACCAATTTCGTACCCTTGCCCTTGAATTTGAGCAGCTTCTTCTTCGACTTGAGCAGCTTCTCGCGTCGCTTCGAGTCGATGATGAGAGGGTCCTGACCGTCCAAGTGCACCATCTTGACACCTCGGGCATCTGTGGTCTTTGGCTCGGCATCGGACTCCTCCGAGTCGGAGGAATCGCTCTTCTCGCCGAGGTCTGCATCGCCGGCGGCGAATCGGCGCTTGACTGAGAGGAAGTCGGCATCCTCGTCGGCCTCGTCGTCGATCTCTGCGCCAGCGTCCTTGGGGGCATCGATAGCCACCATCGTGCCGTCGTCGTTGATAAGCTTTGAGTAGTGCTCCGCCAGCACGCCCTGATTGCGTCGCTCAAACATACGGTCGTACCGGGTCCGCACCTCCTTCTCGTCCTTCTTGTCCTTCTTCTCGGTGTCCGAGTCATCATCACTGGACATATGCGCCATTCTCCAGGATTCGTTCTTGCGCTCCTTCGCGTCGTCACCCTTGATGAACTTGATACGTGGAGCACCGGGAAGACCCAGACTAGCTGCATACTCTTCCAACGGAAGTTCCTTGATCTTAAAGGTCTCCTTGTCCTTTTGCACGTAAATCGACTTGACGTAGGAGATGAAAGCTTTCTGGCCCAGGTACTTCAGCTCGGGGTCCTTGAAACACATGTTCTGAAGCTGGTTCTTGACACTCTGCTGTTTGTTCGATTTGATGTTGATCTTCTCAATGGGTACCTTCTTTTGCTCTAGCTGCTTGAGGAATCCCTTCTCCTCGCTAGGATCTAGGAAGAGCACCGCACGGCCCACACGCTCGTAACGCGCTGTCCGTCCAACACGATGAATGTAGGTGTCGGCATCTTCGGGGCAGTCCATCTGGATAACCCAATCGACAGCGGGGAAGTCCAGACCACGAGCAACAACATCGGTAGCGAAAAGAACGGCGTGTTGAGCTTGAGAGAACTTTGTGGTGATATCAAGTCGTCCTCCCTGCTTCTGCCGTCCGTGCAAGTGGAGCAAAGAAATACCAGGCTGCAATTGTCTTAGTGATTCGTATACGTATCGGACTTGCTTGCCCGATGACAAGAAGACCACCGTTTTAGATTTGAGGTTGCTGCGAATGAAACTCCAAAGGGTATCGAGCTTCTGCGGTAGTGGAGTGACGGTATAGTGTTGTTGGAGAGTGGAGGGAGTGGCGGAGGCGGCTGCTTCGTGGACCGAGACATATTCGGGTTCTTGCAGACTCAAACGAGCCAAATCACCGACCTTCTTGGTCTGTGTGGCACTGAACAGCATAGTCTGGCGCTGTTTGGGGAGATGGTCAAGGATAGCATCCACGGTCTTCTGGAAACCCATATCCATGATGCGATCGGCTTCGTCCAGCACCAGCATCTGCAGATTATTCGTCTCGAACATAGCCGTCTGATCCAAATGTTGCAGCATACGACCGGGTGTGCAAACCAGGATGTTCATACGTCCCAGGCGATCTTGTTCCTCGCGCAGACTCTTTCCACCAATAACCAATCCAGCAGAGAAATTGTGGTATCTTCCGATCTTGCGAAGCACCTCAAAGATCTGAATCGCTAGTTCACGCGTAGGCGAAAGAACGAGTGCGCCAAGACCATCCAACTCTGTCCATTTCTTGCGATAGAGATTCTCGAGAATGGGTATTAGAAAGGCGAGGGTTTTTCCGCTACCGGTTTTCGCGGCACCGAGGATGTCGCGCCCCTTGAATGCATGATTGATAGCACGCGATTGAATATCGGTAAGAGTTTTGAAATGAGAGGCTGCGAGACCTTTGGCTGTTGGTTCGGAGAGTGGGAGATCGGAGAAGTTTTTGATGGGAGCTTTGAGATCGAGGTCCTCCACCTGTTTGATGAGGGTGGCTAAGTTATCCTCACCACGCTTTCGCTTCAAGACCCTCCCTGTGTCCTGGTGAGTCTTTGACTTCCCTTTAACTGCTCGGGGCGCCATGATGTGGTTTGAGTTGAATCTTGAAAGTTAGCGGGCGGTGAAAACATCTTTTTTTTCTTCTTGGGAGCGAAAAATAAAGGCGGTAGGGGAGGCGGTGAGTGACTCGCCAGGTGCATATCGCTAGAGTAAATGTTTTGATGCCTTGAAAAAAGGGATTTCTGTTTTGTTTTATATAAAGAGTGTCTAACATCAATCTGGAGGCCACTAGATGTGATCCATCGAATTTTCAGTTAAGAGAGAGGTATAAGTGAACAATAGTTCTTTGGTGTCGCTGCCACCTGAACCCCCACGAGGTCCTGGCGATTCTGTGATGACTCAGCAGCTGATAAGCCCGCGGCGCTGTCTTATCATACTTGACCAGGTGAATCTTAAGGGCGACAGAAACATGTCTACCTCAAAAGAACCCACAAAAGCCAATATGTCAGACGATGATCAGGATTTCCTCGAATCCCTTGAGAAAGAGGCCACCGAATACAACAAGGTAATTGCCTCTCTGCACAGTGCATATCTATACTCGGACTGACACGCGACACAGGATGTTGAGATCGATCGCATTCGCAAGGCATTTAGCCTCGATTCGTAAGTTCAATCCCCTCTAAGCTCTGAAAACAACGACTGTCCCTCTATATATTCTACAAATATTAACCTACTGCAGCTACGCCGTTCTGGACCTGCAACCCGGAGTGACAGAAAAAGACATTAAAGTCCAATACCGCAAGATTTCACTTCTGATCCATCCCGACAAGACCAAGAACCCCGCTGCTCCAGATGCCTTCGATCGAATTAAAAAAGCACAAACAGCTCTTCTAGATGAGAAGCAGCGCGAATACTTGGATGAATGTATATCCGACGCGCGCCGCCTGTTGATCCGCGAACACAAGTACACACTCGATTCCCCCGAGTTGAAAACCGAAGAGTTCAAGGTCGAGTGGCGGAAGAAGACAGTCCAAGTGCTATTGGAAGAAGAAGCGCGACGCCGGCGACAACTCAAAGCGCGCTTACAGGAGGAAGGTCGTGAGCAACGCAAGGAAGAGGAAGAGCTTGAGGCGCGCAAGCGGAAGCGCGACAATGACAAGAAATGGGAGGATACGCGGGAAGAACGAATTGGCAGCTGGCGCGATTTCCAGAAGGGGCGCAAATCCGGCGGTGATGAGAAGAAGAAAAAGAAGAAGATGAAGGTGTTGGGCTGATTTCGGCTTCCTTTTTCTTTTCCCTTAGCGTTACGGGAGTTTGGGGATCTACCTACATGACTTGTCACCGGCCACGGCCTCAATTAAGCATTTCCTTTTTTCCCTTCCAACGATGTATTCAGTAAATTGTAAGATCGTACATGTCCAGGTTCTCGATACTCCAGATCCATGAGAATCTACCGAATTCCACCGAGAATCCGAGAAATTGCGGGGAGACGGGGGAATTCGAGAAGTTTCCAATCTCTGCACATCTTGCAGAGCCTACGTACACATGTGTATACATGTAGAATACTATCCCGAGGTCTATACATGACAGTTAGATCCCCACAGTGGATTAAGTTGTGTCTCCCCGAGAAACCCACACCCCGCCCCGAACCTCGTCCTGTCAACCTCTCACCAACAAAATGACTGAACCGATTGCGAAGCCCGCGCCGTTCCGGCCGCAAGATCACCTCAAACCATTCCCACCACTATCATCAACATCCCAATTGAAACAAACCTCGAATCAAGAACCCGAGCCGAATGGAACAGCCCACACCAACAAAGACACCGATGAAACCAACGATGAAACCGTCCCTCCTCTCCCCGTCGTGATCGCACGCATCCATGCCCGCGTGCAATCCTTTTTAAACGAATCTCACGCTCCGGACACGCTGCTAGCCTCGGTGCAACGGCAAACGCGGATCTCGCTAGAAGTAGTCAGCACCGCACTCCAGCGATACAAGCTCTCGGAACTATCCGTCTCCTACAACGGCGGCAAAGACTGCTTAGTCCTGTTAATTCTGTTTCTGGCCGGGTTGCATCCAACGCGCGCCCGCAATGAATCTCATCCCTCCGATGCCGAGGCAAATGTAAATGCAAACGACACAAGCCCCTCCGCAGACCTCGACACTGAGGCCCAAATAGCCGCTGCGACGGTTATTCCGGCGATATACGCACTCCCGCCTGATCCCTTCGATGAAGTCGAAGACTTCGTCATCTCATCGGCGGAAGCCTATCACCTCGCTATTACAAAGTATACGACTGCGCCGCCGGCTTCGACGCTCCGCTCTAGCTTTGAGGATTATCTGGCGCGGCACCCTGGGATTCGGGCGATATTTGTTGGTACGCGGCGAACGGATCCGCATGGAGCGCAGCTGACGCACTTCGATCGGACGGATGGGGGTGGCCGGATTTTGTGCGCGTGCATCCCGTGATTGATTGGCATTATGCGGAGATTTGGGCGTTCATCCGGCATCTGGATTTGAGATATTGTTCGCTCTATGATGAGGGATATACCAGTCTTGGCGGCACCTCTGATACTCATCCTAATCCGAGATTGCGGGTTGGCGTGGAGGCGGATGGACAGTATCTGCCTGCTTACCAGCTCACTGAGGATCTGGAGGAGAGACTTGGGCGCAATTGACTTGAATAGTGTGGATTTTCTTGTGTATAGATTGAGATTCATATCTCATGGGCCTTTTCGGATAGATTGCTTTGCACATTACAGCTGTGCTCATGCGCCTTGGATCTTGAATATGGACACTTCCGTGAAGTAGTTTTGGCCTTGAAATAATATCATATTAGACTGCGCAACCCAATAAGGTGCGATAGCGTTCTTTGAACGAAGTCTTTGAAACATGCATCTTGTCTGTCACATATTGCTGAAATCATGCGAAGTCCGTATAACTGCGAAAAGAAAAGAAAAAGAAAAAAGCAGGCCCCATCCTCCCATCAAACTCCATAAAAATGCAAAGTGAACTCCGTAATGATACCGTGTTGGGTTGTATAACAATACTGCAATGAGTCGGAAACAGAAAAACAACCGAATATCATGTCGTGAATCATGAGTCTTGAGTCGTGGGACAATTCTAAAAGAATGCAAGGCGAAGGCATACATCATCGATACATTCTGCGAATGGTAACAAATGCTGCGCATTTAAACACTAAGGAGCACCGTAGACAGGTGCTGGCCAATCTTACTGCGGATGATAAGATGGCGTAAAGCATCCCATGCAAATACAGACATGCATGAGGACATATTGCACAGCAGGCTTAAGTGCACGAGCGAGCCGGAGAGAGAATGATCATGTGAGAAGAAGAAGCAGGGGATACAGATCCCGCTCTGATATTCTCCTTGCGAGAGTCCATGGTCGGCGAGTCCGGCATGACGGTCTTTGAAGAACCACCAGATAGATCAGTGTAAGAGCGACGGCTCAGGGAGAAGGCTCGACTGCGATAGGCGGGCGTGTGATCAAGAGCATTCAGGCTCCGAGACGACAAGGAGCTGCTCCGTGCACTGCTGGATGGGTTTTTCATACGTGGGTGGCTATGAGCTCAATTAGAGTGGGTTGGATTGCAATACAATGTAGATTTTCGGACATACCAAGGAGAAATTGAGGTTGCTGGGGTCCAGTTAGAGCCCACTCCAGCTGGAGATGTATAGCTGACTTGAGAGTTTGGAGTAAGATGAGAGCCGCGTTTCATCCCGGGGGATGGGGTTGATCCCTGCACCACTTCAACCGAGTAGTTGTACTCTCCGGCGCGGTAAGCGCGACGTTCATTGCTCTGTTGCTTTAAAATCTTTTGCGCCTTGGTATCAGCAAAGCGCAGGAGTAGCTTCACCCCATCGTCCTTGGTAACGTTGTGGAATTCCGTCAAGATCTTTTCGGCAACATCACGATTTTCGAAGCTGCGAATTGAGATTTAGTCTTCCGTCTAACAGCTTCTGAGAGTCAGGCAATTGGCTTTGTTACCGTGCAAAGCCCACTTCCTTGCTCACGCCTGTTTTCTCATCGCGACTGATCTTCTCCGAAACAACACGCCATGGCTCGAAATGACGGCGCAGATCCTGACAACCTGATTAGGATTGACTGGAGAAGGAGAAGGGTGGAGTTGATATAACTCACAGCTTCTGTCCAATCGATTGGAATGTTTGTGCAGTATATATTGGTAGAAGACTTGTCCTCCAGATCCTTCAAGCGAGAGTTGCGAGACTTCTGGGCGAAGCTAGCTTGGTAGCCAAGGTAAAAGAAACCACGAATGCAATTCTCGCAGGATTCGAAGCTGTAATACTGAACAAACCCGAACCTACAAAGAATTAGAATAAGACGTGAGAAAAATCGTTCGCAAAGTAGGTACCCTTTGCAAAGACTAGTGTCCAGGTCCACGATGGCCTTGCAACGCTCAATCTTTCCGAAGCGGGCTGCATAAGCATGCAACATCTCATCGCTGGTCTCAGGCAGGAACCCTCGGATGTAGACATTGGTTATACCCTCGCGGTTCTCCAGACATTTGGCGAGTGTCAGCTCAGATGGGTTTGTCCACATGGCAGGCACCGCGCGTGGGATGGCAGGCTCCTGTTGAGTCAGAGCCTCCAGGTCTTGAACGACGTACCCGTTTGGAGTCTTCATCATCTGAAGGGGAAGCGAGAGCGACCCAAGCTGGGATGGAACCATACCCCCATAAGCGTAACCAGCCATGGAACCGCCATCCATTCCAGGAACAAGGGCCGATGAATAGTAATGGACTTGACCAGTGTTATCTCCTTGAGCTCCTTTCTGGGCTTCGGACATATTCCATGCAGCTTGCTTGTTGGTTGTGCCATCCTGCATGTCGTAGTTCATCATGTAGGGCCACGACGAATATCCGCCAGCTACAACAGGGTTGACATTTGAATAAACCCCCGTTGGGAGATAAGAGAATTGACCCATCTGATCAGTCTGACCAGAGATGCCGTTGGGAACAAAGGAAGAGACGGTCGGGACGCCATTGAAAACGGTGGAATTAGGAACCAGGATAAATGGGCTATTGTACGCACGGTTGGTGTTCGACCAGTCCATGTTTGTGTTCACCTGAACGGACGCGTTGCCCTTTGGGCCGTTGAACTTGGGTCGTGAATTTTGCAAATTCAATCCTCTGAAGAGATTGGTCAGGCCTGCAACGCTGCTGTCACGAGAACTCGGATTGGTGGATTGCTGGTACCTGGGACCATAGGGTGTACGAGGCTCGTTTTGGAAGTGTCCAGACTGGGAGCTTGATGTCTGACCAGAGCCAGAGGAACTCGTATGCTGGGAGCTGTGCATAATGGAGGGCGTACACTGGCAGATAGTAGCTATGTCAGCTGGTTCTCCTGGGTTCACAAGCATGCGAAGGAAGAGGCCTTGGTGAACAACTCCTCCGGCCCTAAGTTGACAAAATGTCTAATAGGGTGGGTTCAACTGCACGAAACCTCACCTGGTTTCCTGCACCAAATTATATAGACACTCCTGACAAGAAATGCCGGCTGCTATTCAAGCATGCCAGGGTCAGCCAAAACAAAGACTGGAAGGATCGTCGAGAATGACCAAAAGTGAGTAAAAGGCCTACCTATGGTCAAGGATGTAACCGGTTGTCTGTTCTCTCAGGCTGCAAGGCGTCTGATGATAGCTCGAGGCAACGAGGAGGTAATTGGGAATGAGGTATACGGCAACGAAAGTCTGGATGGTCTTGGAATGGGAAATTGGATAAATGGGTCAGGGCGAGACCTATGACAAAGTAACTTGGGATGGGGATGACAGAATGGAGATGGGATGGGATGAAGATGGGAGGATGAGATGGAGGAAACCTCCCAAGCAGAAAGAATGGCAGACTTGGATAAGGAAAGAGCGTAACAATACGAGAAAGAGCTATGGGGAAGTTTGGATGTTGGGGAAAAAGGAAAGGGAAGTCACATGGGAGACAACTATATGTGTGTACCTCTGATATTGGAATATTGTATATGTTCAGAAGACATAGACATGGAAAATCCCTAGACTCAATTTGAGAAGAATGCTAAATTGCGACATTTTATATCCCAAACATCTATGAAAAAGAGCAGCAGCAACTGAATTGGGGAATCGAGATATCCAAAAGGGAAAATACTCATAAGGAAACTTCACAGATGAAAAGAACCTATTGAGACTTCTCTTGCAACCACTTGTAAACCACCGAGAAATCCTTACCACGGTGCTTCTCTTCAACAGCCTTATACACCTCACGAGCCTGAGCGCCCAGGGCGAGTGGAGTATGAGACTGTTCTGCAGCCGCAAGAGCTAAGCGAAGGTCCTTGTGCATGAGACTCACCCCGAATCCGCCCTCGTATCCACGCGACGCAGGGGCTGTTTCAACGACACCAGGAGCAGGATTGTTAATCTCAGAAGGCCAGCAACGACCAGTCGAGGAATTGATCATATCCGCCAAAGCCTTGGGGTCGAGTCCCCAGCGAACGCCGAGGTTCATAGCCTCAGCAGTGGCGATATTATTTAGAGCCAAAATGTAGTTGTTGGCGAGCTTGCCGGACACCCCAGCACCGGGCTCACCAAGATGCCAGGCTTTCTTGCCCATCAAAGCGAGGACATCGCGAATGCGCTCAAGCTGCTCGTCTGTCTGTAAAGAAGCGCCGAACATGAATGACAACGTTCCCGCGCGAGCACCGACCACACCTCCTGATACGGGGGCATCCACGAAGCGGCCGGTTTGCGTGGTGTGGATGGCGTTTGCAATATCTTTGGATGTGACGGGGTCAATGGTAGATGCGTCAATAAACAGCCGCTCTTGCTCGAGTGGTGGCAGCGCTCCATGTTTAAGGATGGAGTGGAACACTTCAATCACATGCTGAGACTCTGGGAGACTGGTAACCATGACTATCTAAGTAGCAAGACAGAGATAAGCCAAGCTATCGGAAGCCAGGCTGAGCCCACACGGTAGGTAACCACTTACTGATTTCTCGGCGACCTCTCGCGCACTCTGAGCGATCTCAACTTGGCCTTCATTGGCGCCTGCGCCATTGCTTTGTGCAGTCTCTCGGGCCTCCGCCACAAATCGTTTCATGGCATCTTCGTTAACGTCGCGAATAATCAATGTATCGGATGCGGGAATCTTGGCGCGCAGGTTTTTGGCCATATGATAGCCTGGGACAGTCAGCCAATGCGAACGCAATACAAACAGCCTATAGTCCATTGCATAGCCGAATTTCCTCGGGTCCTCGGGTCCCGGCCGCAGATCTCACAACGTACCCATTTGCCCCAATCCGACAAAGCCCCACGTCGCATCACGGTGCATGGTTGTGGAGAAAGCTCGGGCCTTGCTGGACGGCCAGCGTCGGGGATCCACTGCGGACGCATGGAAGCAAGTCGCCCTCCGTGGCAGGGACATAGCTGTTCGGAGACTCATTTTTCGATAAATGTGATGCGTCGGCTAACGCCCAAGAGAGATGGTAAGTGCTAAATAATAAGTATGAATGTAGCCAGTGACGATTGACGGGCAACAATGCCGAGCACAGGGGGAAGAGCAATGGATTGTTTGAATTATGGAAAGATGAAATGGGGAGAGGGAGTATTTAAACCAAGAACTCCCACCTCCCCGCAGGTTTCACCGTGGTTTTCCGAGATGCGAGGGAGTCAGGATGGATTATGTACTCCGTCCAGTAAAGTATGCGGGGAAGACCGGATTAGGAAAGCCGTGGGGAAGCGCATCACGTGCTGTGGGGTATACTTATTTGGTCTGATCTATATAGATGTTGGACCCTGGATGAAGGGCAATCTCTAGAGAAGGATACAGAAATAACTCCCAAGTCAGATTGCAACAATGGTAGGGGTAAGCTTGAACTTTGACACAGGTACAAATATGTAGACTTTGATATTGGAATGCAAAACACCTAGTATGTAAGCCTATCCATCAACTCCAAGGATATGACTACATGGACTGTACAGGGTGTGGAGGTGTGGATCAACGCTAGAAAGACAAAATCAATCGTGAAATAGATGGACGAGTAAAGGGTATGTATGTAAAGTGATCCAAACTCCCGAGAAATGCCCCAGGCAGCCTGGAAAATGGTTGACAACATCAAAGAAAAAGCAAGACCATAAAGCAAAGATATGATGGAGGGAGAAAGATGCAGGCAGCTTCACCTCGGCGATGTCGGATGACTGTTAGATGCTGAGAGATATTCCTCAGGCACCTTTGGAACACGGGGTGAGTTAGCAGTCTGCACCATGGCACGGTGTTGTGCACGGAGGAGGTCTCGCTGGCGTTCCTTTTCTCTGCTGGCTGCGCCACCAGTCAGCCTCCGCATGCCGCTGCGAATCATCGACTCCAGGGAGTGTGGCCCGTCAGTTACACTCCGGGTCATAGGTGTAGGTGGATGCATCATCTTCTTTGTCACAGGGCGTTCCTCTAGATCCGAATGCACCTCGTCAGGATCCTCATCGGAGAAAAAAGCGGAATCACCAAATCCAACAGGTTGTGTGGAATTAGGTGTATGAGAAGCGGTGTGGACATAGAGATTATTGGCAGGGGAGGTGACAGAGCGGGTATGAGAGCCAGACCGTAGTAGTGAGGTGTTTGGAGGCATCGCCGTTACCGGCGAGTAAACACCAGGACCATCGAAGCGGAAATTGGGAGGGCGAGACTCGGCGAGACCGTTATGGAAAGATGATGTAGAGCCTGTACGAGCGAGGGATTTCCGCAAAATTGGCGCGGTCTGCTGGTCGTACAGATGTGCGTTTGTATCCACGTAGTTACCAGTAAATCCCCGCATCATCGGAGCTACAGGGTTCAGCACAGGAGTGATTGTATCAGTCTCCTCAAAGAAGTCATCTAGGCTGTCCAGCTTCTGTACGATATCTCCCATATTACCATCGATTTGCGTATCGACTGATTTCATAGTATCAGCTCTTATTGGGAAGAATGAGTCGCTGTAGTCGTCCGCGTGGAAGGCCACACTGGGTGTCATGACATCTTCCTCTCGCCGGTCTTCGGCCTCAACACATGTGTAGAATACAGCGTGAACGTTGTGACGGGTCATGCTAGACTGGGTTGCAGGCATAGGAACTGACCATCCCGTCGGTTCGGGAATTCCGTACAGACTCTGGATTCGTTCGTACTCTTTGCGGATGGCGCGAGAGGAGGCTGCTGATGCCATACTCATCCGAAGGTGTTGACGCTCCATTGGGTTCCCCGAGACCGTAATAATATGGTCCAGGACCTCCAGAGCCTGAGGGCAGAGATCAGTTTGCAGAAGCCGGAGCAGTGGGGAGATTAGATCTGGGCCATGGCAGGTGACCTCATTGCGCCTCATGTCCACCTCGGGAATCAAAACACAGAGGATCCTCATTGTTTTGATGCGGAACCAATCCGTGGTGTTAGTGAGAAGGCCCATGAGAAAGATGAGACACTGGAAGTCTAGTTGGGGGAAGTAGTAAGACTTGATCTCAGTGATGATATGATCGAGGAAGACCCCCGCGGTTTTGTACTGCTGGTTGGCAAACCCAAACAATGATGCTGCAAGACGAGGGCATCTTTCGTTCTCAGCCACGCGCGCAAGTATACTGGCACGAGCGATGGGTTTAGGATCACTAAACCCTTGCTCGAAGCATTGAAGGAAATGGGGTAAGTTAGCCAACACGGTGAACAGATGTCGTGTTCCATCTCCAATGAGATCGTTGTTTGGAAGACCACTGAGAATGTGAAGTAGATCGAGTGTACGATCAAAAGACTCGGACGATTTCATTCCCTTGAAGACAAGGTCTTGGATACCATCGAAGCCGCCTTCCCAGTTTGGTGGTTGGCCCTCGATAAGGTTGGCCACCACAACCGGATCACTGAGATCGACCCGGTGGAGGAATTTCTCAAGCATGCCAATACTTTCGATAAATTCGGTCTCGTGGATTGTATTGAGACAAGCACATGTCGTCCAAAATAGCTGAGGATAATCCAAAAGGTCGGACGGCGCTAAAGAGCTAATGATGATCTTCAACGTAGTAAGGATCTCCATCGAGAAAGTCTGGTAATCTGTTTCCTCGTCTGCAATGGTGTTTGAAAGCCGGGCAAGCATGTCAGCTAGCATTCTCGAGTCTAGCGCAGTCGAGATACAGCGGAAGATCTGGAACGAGCGGCATGCTAGATGTCGCACTGGACATGAGGTCGCCCAGTTTAACGCCTCCTTGGCCCACAAGTCGCCAATGCCCTCGTAAGCAAAGCTAAAAAATTTGACGACGTCACGAGTGACAGAAGCCATAGATTCAGGCACACGGCGATCATCGTTCTCTTCATCTTTACCGTGATTCTCTTCGTATTCCCAAACGACCGCGGGGTTGCTCCTGCGTATTGATTCCACAAAGTCTTCGACAGATTGACGGGTGCCCGCCACGTCATCGTCCTCAAGCTTGGCAGCTATCAATTCATGGATAAGATGTACCAGCATCTCGCGAGCTTGCTCTTGCACGGTGATTGTATAATGGTCCCAGAGAATGAGAACGGTGTGGATCAGCTTGACAACGTCACTCGGGGCGAGGGTCACTGGGGCGACCATCAGATCAACGAGGAATATCAGGGCAACCTGTCCAAGGGATAGACCAGCCTGTTTGTTTCCGACAGGGAGCACTGTCCCAAGGTCTGCAACGTATGGTAGGTTTTTGGTGTCAGGGGGAGGTGGAGTGAGTTCTTTGCGCTCTTGTACCATGTTCTTTGGCACAATCTGCAACAAGAAAAATTCAATGACCTTGGATCCTGCTGGAGTCCCAGACAAAAACACGACCATTTGCTTAGCATACTCCACAAAATTTTGTTCTTTGCGTTCCAAACAGATGCTGATGACAAAGTCGAGGACCAACTGGACATTACCCCCGTGAGGGCCTGTTGCCAAGGCCTGCCACAGTGCTTGCACTTGATTAGGCAGGATTGTACTCCCACGAATCGTTATCTCAAAGAGGTTTGCGAGCAACATGTATGACTTGGCCGTAGGGCCGCCATTTGGGTCAACCTGTAGCTCCATCGTCTGAACCCATGGCAAAATGGCAGCAACCATGTTTCGCTGGCTATCGGCTTGAAGATTGCGGAAATGCAAAGAGAACTCCGAAAAGATAGTGAATGCCAGGTTAGAGTGTTGACTAGCTAATCTTTTGGAGATTTCGAACTGGGCAAGCTTGTACACCGCAGTAGTTTTGTCCGAGATACTAATGTCAAAGTCTTGGATCCTGGAATTCTTCTGCTGGCGTTCCTCAAGTTTCCGAAGAAGTTTAGCTGACTTCATTCGGATCTCGCGCTTTTCGTTGCCCAGTGTCACCAAGACTGCCCCTAGTACTCGCCAGAATTCGAGCGGATAGTCTGGATATTCGAAAAGCACCTGCGTCACTACCTCGAAGTAGCTCTCAATGGTCTTGAGATGCTTAGTAATGTAGCACATCTCAATTGAGCGCTCCATCAGGTAGGAATGTTCTTGGTTATGAATGATGAGGTTTTTAAGAGCTCGGCGACCGATGGCATGCCATTTATCACTGACAGTGTTGAAGATCGTTGCAATCCATGAAAGCATGCGAGTGACATCGAATTGGAGGACAGAACCGCTTTCAGTGGTGATGCTGATGGGACCAGCACAAAGGAAAGCCATTGCACTCAAGGCTGCCGCGTGTAGATTCTTCTTTTCAATCTCCATAGCAGCAGCGGTGTTTCTCATTTCACCGATCTCGTGTGGCCGGGTCATGTAAAATTTGCGCATATTCTCCTCCCGCTCAGAGATTTGAGATTGGTTTGGGGAGTTACCACACCAGTCCTCCATCAGAGAGAAAGCAGATTTTCGCGACTCAAAGGGCATCCAGCGGGAAGGATCCTTGGTCCGATTGATTCCTTCAAAGATCTCCTCCATCAGTCCGCAGAAATGGAATCGTAAGCGTTGGAATTCCCAGTCGTTCTGAACTTCGGCATCACTAAGGAAAATTCGAATATCTTTTGCGTATGTGACGAGGTTATTGACGATCCAATCGTCATTGTAAACCTCGGGTTCTTGAAGGAAGTGAGACGTGAGTTTGTAAACGTTCGTGACCTCGGTGCGCAAGCGATCGGTCTTCCTGTTCCGACGGGGACTGCTGGGACTGCGGTAGTGGTTGCCAATTCTCATCTTCGCCTCCTCGTTGCAGGTAGTGACGGCGTACTGCAAAGACTCCAGAAGTGTGCGGTAGAGATTTTTATGGATAGATCCCAAGGCAACAACAATAGCACTGCGAATGGAATCCCGTTCAGCAGAAAGAAGAGGAATGACAAATGCAAACAGGCTTCGAGCGGAGCTGATTTTGTCTTGAGACTGATGGGCTCCCTTAGAAGCTTTGCGCGCATGCTGGGCATTTGCCAGCTGGCTTTGCGATTGTGCCCCAACACTCGTGACGGTGGTACAGGCC